GGCCGTGGTTGGTCTTTTGCTCGTGTGCCTGCTGTTGCTGCTGGTTCTGCTGTTGGTGTTGTTGTTGCTGCTGCTGCCCTTGGTTCTGCTGCTGCTGCTCCCCGGCGTGGAGGCTATCGGACATGACGACCATTTTGAAAATCTCAAACGAGTCTGGGTTGTCGGCGCTCGCGGCCGTCAGACCAAAAGTGTAGCCGGTGGGGATCTTGACCTTGTCGCTCTCGAAGCACAGGCGGCCGTCAATCTCGACCTTGAAGGCGCGGTCGGTCTGGCGCAGCTTGATCTGGCTGGGACGGCCGAGGTTGCGGTAGTGATACTGGCAGTGGCCAAAGGCAAGGGGGCTAATGTCGCTCTGGGCCTTGTAGTCGGTGGACCGGTCGTTGAGGAAGCCGCGCACCATACCGCCGGTACCGCCGTAGCCGTCGACGACGAGGACGAGACCGTCGAAGCGGCCGGCCGTGTATGCGGAGCTCATGCCGACATCGGCAGAGCCGCCGTTGGTGAGCCAGATGTTGAGGTTGCCGCCAGCGCGCTCGGGGCCGTTGGCTCGGAAGTCAATGTCGGCGATGAAGTTCTGGTGCATCACCTTCTGTGTGCTCCAGATGGAGCCGCGCTGGTTGCCTGGCGCCACGGGTGTCAGGATGACCTTGTTGGAGAGGATCTCGGGCTGGTTCGGTTGTCCCTGGAGGACAAAGTTGGGGACGTGGCCGTCATTGTTTGGTGATATGCTGTTGAGGTTAGCTAGGCCTGCACAGGACCTCGGTGGCGCCAAGGGGGAGGAGATCAGCAGTCCTACCTGCCAGAGTAACCGAAGCTGAGCTCGTTGATGAGATATTGAGCTTGTGTGAAGCTTGCACCGAGCAAGAGGGCGAGCGTCGAGCTCAAGGGAGCTTGCGACACACGCATCGTGGGTGGTTCGAGGCAGCGCGGGAGCTACCTTGTATGTGTGGGGAGATGGGGGTATCAAGTGCAACAACGAAGCCGGCCGTATGCCCACGAGGACGATCAATTGTATATTAAAATACAGGAATGCAAGGTCCTGCAATGCGGGCAGAATGGAAGAAAAATAAAACAGTGCAGACGACGTTGGGATCCAGAAAAGCGTGGGAACAATGTGTGGTTGGAAACCCGCCAAGTCGAGAAACTCCCAAGCAGGGGTTGATGGTGCGTGTCTGTGGGTTGAGGACAGGTTGGCACTAAAAAGCGTTCAAGACAGCAGCAGCAGCAGCAGCAGCAGCAGCAGCCAGCTATGCGGATAAGCTCCTGGACTGCCCTTTTTGGACGGGGCGTTTTAGCGTTATGGGCGTTGGATTCTCAAGGAAAGTCAATTGCACTGTCATCACATCAGCTTCAGCGGTAGGTCGATAGTATCCCTCTGCATCATCTCAATGTCTCTCAGGTCGTGGAGTCTCGTGATGATGGACTCCAAACCACGAGCTTGGATTCTGTTTCGCTGTCTCAGAGCGCGCCCAGGAGCTTTTGCTGGAGACATTGGCGAAAATAAAGGGACCCTGGTCCACCAACCTGGAGTTGCATGGCCCGAGCTGGAATGTGAAAGGGATTCTGGAAAGAAAGACACTTTCTGCTCGGTTCCTTGCAGACGTGGCGGGGAGCTTCTGTCCGACTGTCATTGTGGCTTTCACAATGTGGCTTGTACGGGGTAAGGCAGTACGTATCGTTAAAGAGTTCCGTCGCGTCTCCAAAAGACGGCGACTGGTTTCACCGCGATGTCGCACGGGCCCAACATCAATCCCTGCCCGTGGCCCCTTCTCCAAAAAAAAAAATCCCAAGCTGTAGCTCCTTCCCATTGAGCAGGACCCCTGACGACACCGACCAAAGGTGGCCTGTGAAATACCTCCCACCTCCCGACCACTGACCATTTCAGTGAAGCTCTCACGGCACCGCCCAGATCAATGCGGATTACCTACTGACCGGTTCTCGAACGCGCCACAATGGCCGAATCGTATCCGACCCTCACGCAGTGTGCCCTCGTCGCTGGCGCACTCAAAGTCCTCCTCTTCCCGGCCTAGTACGTGGCTGCTCTCCCCTCTCGAGGGAATCCCAGCTGACACGTCGCGCAGCAAATCCACCGATTTCGAAGTCCACCGCAACTGGCTCGCCATCACCAACAGCCTCCCGATATCAGAATGGTACTACGAGAAGACGTCAGAATGGACCCTCGACTACCCTCCCTTCTTCGCCTACTTTGAGTGGGCCATGTCCCAGGTCGCCAAGCTCGTCGACCCGGCCATGCTCAAGCTCTACAACCTGGAATACGATAGCTGGCAGACGGTCTACTTCCAGCGATGGACCGTCATCATTTCTGAGCTGGTGCTCGTCTACGCGCTGCAACGGTAAGTTTGCTTGTGTCCCCGCCGCATCGACTCTAAGCTAAGGTCCAAGGTTCATCGACTCTGCCACCGGTCCCACGAGACGGGCTGCTCAAGCTGCCGCCATCTCCATCCTGTTGTCGCCCGGCCTCCTCATCATTGACCACATTCACTTCCAGTACAACGGCGCCATGTACGGTGTGCTCATTCTGTCTCTCGTGCTGGCCAGGTCCAAGTCGGGGTTGCTGGGCAGCGGATTGGTCTTTGCGGCGTTGCTTTGTATGAAGCACATCTACCTATACCTAGCGCCGGCCTACTTTGTCTTCTTGTTGCGCGCATACTGCCTGTCGCCCAAGTCCATCTTTAGGATTCAGTTCTTCAACTGTGTCAAGCTGGGTGGCGGCATTGCGGCCATCTTTGGTGCTGCCTTTGGCCCGTTTGCCGCCCTGGAACAAATCCCCCAGATGATGAGCCGGCTGTTTCCCTTCTCGCGCGGCCTCTGCCACGCCTACTGGGCTCCGAATATCTGGGCGCTCTACTCGTTTGCCGATCGCGTTCTAATCTACGGTATGTTTGACCACCACAAGACTACCAACGCAATAGACTGACATGTTGCAGCCGCACCCCGCCTCAACCTGCCAGTCAAGGCCGAAGCAATCAACAGCGTCACCAGAGGACTCGTTGGAGACACGGCCTTTGCCGTCTTGCCAGAGATCACCCCGCGGACCTGCTTTGCTCTGACGCTCTTCTTCCAGGTGCTGCCATTGATCAAGCTCTTCTTCCAAGCCCCCCCAACATGGGATGCCTTCATCGGGGCGGTTACGCTCTGCGGCTATGCCTCATTCCTTTTCGGATGGCATGTGCATGAAAAGGCCATTCTCTTGGTCATCATCCCCTTCAGCCTGATCGCGCTCAAAGACCGTCGTTACCTTGGCGCGTTCCGGCCGTTGGCTGTTGCCGGCCACGTATCTCTCTTTCCCCTGCTCTTCACCTCGGCCGAGTTCCCAATCAAGACAGTGTACACCATTTTCTGGTTGATGTTGTTCCTCATGGTATTTGACCGCTTGGCCCCGGCTTCGCGCAAGGCGAGGTTCTTCTTGCTGGACCGCTTCAGCACGTTGTACATTGCCGTCAGCATCCCGCTGATTTTCTACTGCTCGCTGCTTCACCAGGTTGTGTTTGGAAAGCGGTACGAGTTCCTGCCACTCATGTTCACCAGCTCGTACTGCGCTGTAGGCGTGGTCGGTAGCTGGATCGGGTTCATGGTTGTCTATTTCACGTCATAGAATTTGTGTATCTTTACCTTGGGTAGGCATAGAATTACAGTCGAGACAAAATACGGTGAAACTTTTGCGTGCCAGTGCCACTGAGTTGCCGGAGGTCTAAAAGAGACGCTTGGTCCCGTGGGGGCCTAGCTGGCGGGAGCCAATGAAAAGCCCCGTCTCACGTGCCTGGAGGCTGACAGCAGCGCCGGCTCCACTACAAGTACCTTTACCTTACCAGGAGGGAAACTACCATTTTGGAGCTAACGGCTGAGCAGGGGGACCGGGGGTCGTGGGCCATTTGGACACAACCCATTGTATGCCACGAACAAGCCAAAGAACAAAACAGAGACTTGTCGTGCACAGTTTGGGCGATGCACTATCAGAATTTGAGTGATTGACTGTGGTACAAGGCAATTGCGCCAAAATCACTTACACGGAGCCCGGAGGCCCGGAGCGGCCGCGGCGGACCGTCCCGGCGTTGATATCATGACCGAGAGGCCGCGCTGTGTATTGACAACATCTGTAATAACGTGGACGAGTTCGTAATAATGACATGGATTGTATGGGCACGTTGAATCACGTTTATATGTCATGTGGTGGTAGAACGGTGCTCATCCGGAGCTGGCCCCGAGGAGGCAATTAACGAAAACTAGGCTACCCGCAAGGACCGGAAGACGTGCAAGACATATCACGGCATTAATCGGCCAAATCGTGGTGTTCGTGGCTAATTGAGTGCTCAATCGAAAGCCCCAGCCATGGCGAGCCCAACGAGTACAAATTCGCGGGTGGCCGACGCGGTTGTGGGATTCCCGAGGTGGACGGAGTCGTGGCGGGTGGAGGAGGGTAAGGAGGCCTGGTGCGCAGGCGCCTGGGAGATGGGATGCGGAGGCACCGTGGGCCGAACGGGCCAAGCGGGCCAGGACCGCTTTTCACTGGCGCCCTTCTTCTCTTTTTCCCTTTCCTTTCCTCCTCCCCCCCCAAAGCTCACCACTTCCTTTCCCACCTTTTGTTTTTTTTCCCCGTCGTTTCACCCACGACTCGCAGGCTGCACGTTTTCTCACCAACCCGCGACCACAACCACGAACCATCGAAACCGTCATTTATACAGCCATCTCCGACACGTCATCTGCGAGCCGCACCGCGTCCCCCGCGAGTCTCGCGTGTAAGTGCACCCGCCGACCCGTTCTCCCCCTGCCCGACACCCACGACCGCGCCTCCGCTCGCTCCGGCCGCGACCACAACACACCCGCCAGACCGCCACAACGCGTTTCCTTTGCCCAGCAAATGGTCCCCGAGGTTCTATAGGACCACTTGTACGGTTGAAGACAAGGTTGGCTGGATTTCAGCCCCACCGCGCAATCGGAACCTCGAATCTTGGGCCATGCCATTGTAGCCAACCGCCAATATGGTATGGCCTCCCGACGCGCTCTCCGGGGTCGCAGATCGCTGACTTGAGGTACAGGTCCTCTTCAAGCGTAAACCGGTGCAGTTTCTGGCTCCCAAGGACGTCAAGGATGATAATGCAGAGGTTCGCAGAGTGACATTCACCAATGATGCGACGAGTACTGATGCAGGCCCCCAGGTCTGGCATATCCCACAGACCGGCGAGGTCTTTGCCCAATATGAGGATTATCTTACTAGGTGAGTTTATTTATTTTTCGGTCGTCACTTTTCGTTTTCCTTTGCGGCCTCAGCTAATGCGGTGAAGAATGGATTTCTACAAACAGGTACGTCCCAGGCCAGGTGGGGCTACGGGCCAAGACTAACCCCAGCGCGTAGCGGCGCTTCATCTGCCAGATCACAGGGCACTCCGGCCTGACTTTTTTCGAAGCACTCAAGAGCGAAGTCCGTCCCGCCATCTTTCATTGCCGCGCAAACCTGCTGACATGACAATAGCTCGCCGGTGCCGAGGAGGTTGAGCAAGCCTTCCCCGAAGCTCTCAAGGGCCCCGTCCTGCGTCGCGTCCAATTCCAAACAGTGTCCCGAATCGATGCGCTTGTCGACTTGGTGTTTGACGAGTTTAGAGCCGATTACTACCCGGGCGAGGCCGTGACCGTTAGCACGGCGGAGAGCGAGAGGTTGCAGGGCGTCGTGCGAGAAAAGACCCGGTTCGGCGGCAAGATATTGCCAGACGGCACCCAGACCGCCCCCTATACACGCTATACGGTCAGCTTGGAGGAACGCCCGGGTATCGAGGCCGTGGTCGACGATGACCACATCTTTCGCGATCGCAAAATATTTACAAAGTCGGTACTGCGCTCCTTCATCAAGAAGACGGTGACGCGCGAGGCATGGAACGGAGCGCCGTGGCTCGTGAAGCACGATGTAGCGGCTCAGTATCACATCGATTCCCGGGTCCCGCCTCACCTACGCTACGATACCAAGTTGATGGAGAGGAAGCAGCTACAGGCCCAGAAGCGCGCCAGCCAGACTCCGACGCAGGACGGCAACGGCACCAATGGCGTCAACGGCGCCATCCAGAACGGCCCTGCGCGGCTGCCCGAGCTGAAGCCCGCGTTCAAGAGCCAAAAGGGCAAACATCAATCGCCAGAGTTCCCTCAGGGCCAGAATGGCTCGCCAAACATGGCGTCCGAGGCTGGCATCTTCCACGCCCCGCCGCACAAGAACCCCTTTCAGCTGCCGCTCAACTTCCGGAATCAACCGCTACCGCATTCCATGACTGCGCCCGAGCCGCCGCCGCCACCGCCACCGCCAAAGTACCCCATTGAGGATCTCCAGGTGCCTCTGAGAGAGGGCGTCGTCAGACCCGCCCTGGCGTTCCTCTGCAACGACCCCCCGACGGCCTCCGATGTGGCCGTGAATGGCAGCGCCAGCATACGCGACAAGCTGTCGATGAAGTCGATTGGCTCGTTTTTGGAGACGTGGGATACCCTGAATGTGTACTGCGAAATTTTCAAGCTCGACTCCTTTACTTTTGACGACTTTGTGGAGGCCATGTCTGTTGCATCAGAGGAGACCAAGGTCCAGCTGTTTGAGGAAATCCACTGTGCGGTGCTCAAGCAGATTGTGAGTGCCGAGGCAGACGGCGGCAAGGTGAATGTCCAGCTGCCCGAGCTTGAGGACGAAGAGGAGGACTCTGAGGAAGACGAGGATGACGAGGAGACCAAGGAGCCGACCCCGGAAACCGATCGGCCGCCTGCAAGAGCCACACGAAGCAGTCTCGCCAAAGCCGAGGCCGAGAGGCTGCTGGCCGAGGCGCGGGCAGCGGAAAAGGAAAGCCAGAATGTGGAGCCCGAGATCAAGCACCGCGCCGAGGACCTCCTTGAAGAGTACGATTGGATTGAAGAGCTCAGGAAACGCAATTTCCAAAACGGCGGCTGGGAGAGAATCGTCGTCGGTCTGCTGCACCAGCTCTCCAAGAATGAGAGGATGGAGGAGGCGTGCGAAGATTTGCTCGCCCAGCTGTGTCCGCCCGACGAGGACCCCACCCAAGAGACGGTGCAGGAGCATTATGCTCGACTCGACGTCAACTACCGTGTGCAGGCGTTGCAGATCATCTGCATGCTCACAACGCAGACCAAGGCGATGCGTACCTACATGGAGGAATGTAGCGAGCAAATGACGGCGTTCCGCAAGGAAAAGATTGACTGGCAGCGGCAGAGGAAGCAGGCGTACGTGGCATTGAACCGTTTGATCATTGGCATTACTGACCCCTAACAGCATCGAGGAACTGCGTGCTCTCAACGACCAGCGTAAGATTATGCTCCCCGACAACATGCCGCCGTCGCCGCCTCCCGAGCCAAAGGCAGACGAGGATGTCAAGATGACGGATGCAGACGAGTCGGCAGCTGACGCTGCCGACGCCGAAGACGAAGTGGCCGACTCTGACGAGGAAGGAGCACCCCGCAGGAACTTCCGCCGCGCCAACGACCGCGCCGCGGAGAGGCAACGCAAACGCAAGGAGGAGCTGGAGCGGAAAGAAAAGGCCGCCGAAGCCGCAAAGGCACCCAAGCAGTCAAAGCAGTTCCTCAAGGTTCTCAAGGATATTCGGAAGAAGGAGGACTTTATCAAAAAGTGCGAAGATGAGATCGCCGTGATCGACAACGACCTCCGCGAAGCCGACTGTGGCCGGACCCGTGTCTTGGGTAAGGACCGATTCTGGAACCGGTACTACTGGTTCGAACGCAACGGCATGCCGTACGGGGGGCTCCCAGACAGCTCAACCGCTGCCGCCGAGTACGCCAACGGTTGCATATGGGTGCAAGGTCCCGACGAGCTGGAGCGCCAAGGATACATTGACACCGACCCCGAGTACCAGGCCGAGTACCAGACCAAGTTTTCCATGACGGTGCCGGAGCGGAAGAAGTTGGAGGAGGGCCCCACCAGCGTCTTCAACGCCCACCAGTGGGGCTACTATAGCGAGCCCGAGCAGGTCGATGAACTCCTCAAGTGGCTGGATCCGCGGGGCTTCAACGAGTTGCGGCTTCGGAAAGAAATCGTGGCGTTCCGGGACAAGATCGTTCAGCACATGGAGAACCGCAAGACGTACCTCGCTGCCGCAGAGCCCGAGGAGCAGCAACAGCAGGAGGAGGAAAAGGAAGAGAAGGAGAAGAAGGGCAAGAGGCGCGACTCGAAGCGCATGAGCACCAGAGGCCGCCAACACGAGCCGACGCCCGAACCCACAAACTACCGCTGCCTCGCGTGGGAGAATTCCACGGCCATGGAGGAGCTCGGCCATCTCCACTCGGAGCCGCCGCCGCCTCCGAGACCAAAGAAGCAGACGGCCAAGAAGCGACAGGCCGTGGAGCCGTCGCCTGAACCCGCGCCCGCGCCCAAGACGAGGCGGCGTAAATAGGCAGAGTACCCTGCCAATGATCGACTGCGGGCTGTCACTGTAGGCAGTTTCCGTCTTCTTTTCTTAACTGTAATTATAGACACGACGATACAAGGGACACTGCTGGCGCGCGGGTTGTGTGAGCCGATTTTCCCCCTAACAGTTAGACATGGTTGGAGTTTTACGAGCCGAAAACGGGCCTGGCTGAAACAAAGAAAAAGCGGTGTTGTTTTTTTTTGTGAGCAATTGAAAAGGATGTCGTGTCACACACACACACAGCATGGCCCGACGTTGGTGAAGGGTTTCCATTTAGCATTGGGCGGGCTGGCTGTATCTGGGCGGACGGCGCGCGTGGTCTCTGCATATTCACTATATGGGGCCAGGATTATAGACTCTCCAAAAGAATCATTTTGATGACGATGGTTTTGTAATATTGTTACCAAGTGAGTTTGCTGAGCCCTATTGATGTGTTTTTATCTATAAGTCTGGTGCTGCGATCTTCGCCCGAACCTGGCCCCCAGGTTGGCGAAGCTCCTCACCAAAGATATTTACCGGCATGGGACGTGACATATATCCTGCTAGCGCTCTTGACCTGTCTCCGGAATGAGTCTGTCTGACATGTACCAATGGTCTCGAGGCTTACATGGTAACAAATATTGGTACGTCTGCCGAAGGAGCGACACTAGCTGGGGGGGTTTTCCAAGTTTGCCCACTTGGACGAGGTATCAAAAAAGCTGTGGAGATTTTGACAAGGCGAGGTGTAGTTGCAGTATACTTGTCTTGAAACTTACGCCAACTTCTGAGAGTACGGCGAGCGACACATCAGACTGGAGTCGGAGACCATCCCAGTGTTCTTGACTGCTTGATGCCGTGCTCGGGTCGGCCTGTCCTTTGTCTCTTGTAGGGATGCTCTGGTAGGTCTGACGCCGAACGCCTGCGCTTTCTTGTTTGGCTTTGCGTAGCTGAGGAGTAGCTATACGACGAGAGGGTTGCAAATGCCTCATTGTCGGAGAACTCGTCGTCGGCGTCGTAATTGTAGTCTTCATCGTCGTAGTCTTCATCGTCGTCGTCCTCGTCGTCGTAAATTTGATCGTCGTAAGTTTCATCTTCATAGTCCTCATCTTCAAAGGCTTCATCATATGCCTCGCCGTCGTATGCCACTTCACAGGCCTCCTCGCCGCATCCGCTACTAACAGCCACCGGATAAAACCGCTTGCGAGGCATATTCGCCGTCCACTCAAAGTCAGCCTCATCCTTCCACCAGTGCCCGCGGCGTGCCCTCTCGAGATACTTGAACGGAATCTCGTACCCGCTCACGCGCGTGGGCTGCTCTTTCGGGACCAGGTGCCTAAAGTTGTACCGTCGGATCTCTTTCGATAGCTCGTCAGCCTTTTCGTTGCCAACGATTCTGGCGTGACCGGGACACCAGCACACAGCGACTCTGATGTTTCCGTCGTTCCACAAAAGGTCGCACGCTTCAAAGGCGCGCCTGACGAGGGGATCCGAGGTGGTGGTGTGCCCTCCTTCCGCTACGGCGAGTGTCTGCATGACGGCTTGACAGTCGGAGAAGATCGTCACCCGTTTCAGTTCCGGCATCAGACGGGACAGCAGCGTCGCCGTCTCGAGGGCCGCCACTACGGCGTAGAGCTCCGCTTGGTGGGAGTTGCGGCATGCGAGGATCTGGAACGCGCGCGAGTGCCACGGGTCGATGGGGTCTATACACGGCCATGGCTTCCAGAAGACAGCGGCGCCGGCTGGTAGTGATGGCGTCGAGGGACCGGTCGCGGGGAATGAGGCGTCTGTGAAGAGGTGGAGAGTGTGTTGGCTTGGGTCCCTGAGTGAGGCGCGTATAGGGCTGATGCGGGCTTGCGGGTTTGGCAGAATGACGAGGTCGCCCTTGAATGTGCGACTGGAGGAGGCGGTGGTGTCTCGATCTGGTGACGGGGAGTTGGTGGCATGGTTCTGTTCCAGAGGACTCGGTGTAAGTGTACGTGATTCGATTTCGGTTGACGATGATGACTGAAAGGTATCTTTGTGAAGCTCCATGCTAATCCGTCTTACAAAGATGAATTCAATTACCAGCAGTATTCAATGGCTCTCGGATGATCACTGATGATTTTGGACGGGAATTTTGCGACTTGAAGGACATTGAGAGTGAACACTTTGGGCGTTGGCGAGTGCCCAAAGTCATGGAGTCGAGCCCATGTATCTCCGATTGCAGCCCGTTGGTCTATGATAACCTAAGATGACTGTAAATCTTAACCCAGGCACGGACTCATCACCTTCCACCTCATTGAGGACCGTTGTGTCTTGTAAGCCTCGAGTGAGGTGCACATGGTTTTGAGTTCGATGCTGCCAAGAGGAGGAATCGCTTTGGCGGAACGAGTCCATCATTTAAGCGGATCGAGTACACCGCAATCGTGTCCTTCCAGTATAACGAATCTCATGATAGCCTCATTTCATTAAAGAGGTGATCATACTGATCTTCGACGATGCCTCGCAATGACGTCATGGGTCACGGTCCCCTACTTTGTTGCAGCGAGCTAACCCATTTCCGCTTCCAGACCCGCTTCCATCGCATTCCCTTTTCGGAATGCGAGGTTCAGCTCACTGTCTGATTTCATCTCACTCGTTGACTCTCCGCCATGAGGTAGACTCACTCAATCTCATCCTGTCGACAGCTTCACTGGCCGGATGGGAAATCGTCTCATTCTGAATGACTTTTCTGGCTTATTGGTGCTCAAAACTCTCACTTTATCCCACCCCAGCAACTGCCCCCTGAACCACTACACGGGACGATCTCGACGATGCCAGCATCCAACCCCTCCACTTCCCTAGATGCCACGCCTCTGTCCCTCCAATTCATCGACTCCACTCACCCAGAGCCAAAGAAGAAGAAGGCTCATAGGAAGAGCAGAGGCGGATGCACTCCATGCAAACGGAGAAAGGTGAAGGTGATTTTGTCCCAATGTACACAGTCGAGGTTCCCAGACTCACGTAAGACTTACACGGGAAATCCAGTGCGACGAATCAACCCCCTGCGCAAACTGCACAAGACGCAACGAACCATGCACACGCCCGAAAGAGTCCTCCACTCCAGAGACGGACGCCGCGTCGTCGTCGTTGTCGTCGTCGTCGTGCCCTGTCCCAAAGCCGGTAGACGCCTCGGGACCCGTGAACCTCCTCCACATGCAACTCCTCCACCACTTCCAACACGCGACGGTCCCCACCCTCTGCTTCGCCGATGTCTGGGCGTCCGTCCTCCCGCTCGCATTTCGGGCAGAGTACCTCATGACGGCCATCCTCGCCGTGTCAGCGCGGCACCTCGGCACCCTCAGACCAGAGAATACCGTGTACGGAGAGGCGAGCCTGGCCCTGCTATCTCGTAGCTGCGCGCTCTTCGGCGCCGAGCTCGGCCGGGACGACAGGGCTGGGGAAGGGTACGACTCGCTCTTTTTCACGGCGCAGCTTATACACTATCTCACGTGGTGTAATCTCGAGTTCATCGATGGCACTGGCGACACCGACACCCCTCTAGACCTGTCCCGGGACCAACTCTTCCTCCTCAGCTCCGGCGCACGAGTCTTCCTCTTCGGGACGCGGTCGCAGGAACAAGAAAGCATCTTTGCCAAAGCATGGCAGGACGCCCCGTGCGACGCTCTCGACAAGATTGTAGCGGAACAGAGCATGGATCGTGGTCCGATACAGAGAGCCTTTATGAATCAATACGATGACATGACACCCAGAGGTCAAGGCATCGCCACCCCGGAGCACCACAGCATCGCGGAACGTCAACGCGCCGCCTTCGCCGGCATCGTAGAACGGCTGTCCGTCATCATGGCCCTCTGGCAACACCGCAGCACGAATCCCCAGCCCCCCGCGACGCCCGACCTCGAGCGGTACATCCTCGCCTTCCCGCTCTTCTGCTTCGGCCCGCTCCTCGACATGATTGTCGCAAACGATTCGAGGGCGTTGCTTTTACTGTATCACTTTTACGAGACCTCGCGATTGCTTCTCGGCGAGGAGGAGCGGGAAGCCACGTGGTGGGCGTGTGACAGACTCAGTGCCATGCCAAAAATGCTTGAGCAAGAGTTGCGTAGGCGGGGTATACCTACAGTTCCCTTTGGCGATGTGATCCGGGTCTTGGGATGAGCCCGTTGTTGATTCTGGATTGTGGCAACTGAGTCAGGGACAGGACTTTCGTCACAACACATTCCTCGCGCGAGGATCATCAGCCCTGATCAAGAAAGGCGCCACCAGAAAGATAAGCAAGAGAAAACAAGGCGTCACGGGCGTTTACAAGGTGGCGGAAAGGTGAAGAATGTATCGCGGAATGCGGACCCAACCGTCTATCGAAAATCGCATACCAACAACCACAGCAAGGGACGTGAAAAGAATTACCGTCTAAAATCCTCCCCCCTTCTCTACTAGCAAAGAAACTTCGTAAATAGTCCAACAAATCGTTCCATTACCAAGAACGCAATCCTCCGGCTATCCTCCGACTACCAACGAGGCCGTCGCAAACTCCATCCCCCCCTCCCTCCCTCTTCACGCGCCGCCGCGTCTAAAAGTGTCTGCCAGTCCAATGTGGCGTGCCGGAGCAACCCACCCAAAAGTTGCCAAAACGGGCCAGCTGAGACGCAGGGAGCTCTCCCGATGCGGCTAAAGCGCAGGATAGCTTGGCCACCTAGCTCCCAGGTTAGCGGTACCTCTTCCAACCACCAACAAACAGCAAAACGCACGACCTTTGGAGGTTGCTAAAAACCCTCCCGCCTGAAACTCTTAGCATTTCTGTATCGGTGGCAGGGCGGGCTAGACGGAGCTAGAACGGGGTATCCACATTCGCGGGGTCCAGAACCGCGCCGGCGATCTCTCGACTTACAAGTTAGACTTCTTTTCTTAGCCCGGCGTCCGTGGCGTTGTTTCCCTTTCTTCACGATAGCGGTCTCGAACAAGCAATGTAGAGTGACGCTCCATTTCGGAGACTTGGTGACATGTAGTATTGATGAAAATGTTTCTTCTCTGTGGGTATCAAAATAGATGTGACAAAACAAAACTCCGTTTACACACTTTTCCTTCCCGTGTGCTCCCTATGCAGTTCTACCTCGGCCTGTACCGTTCCCATAACGCTCTTGTAATGAGCCCAGGGGCTCCCAGCCCCAGCTCAAACGCCCCCCTCACCGGCTGGCCTCTGTTGGACGATCTCGCCGGCAGGTATGGCGGGGGCGGCGACGGGCTTCGGGGGGAAGACACCGTCGTAGTGGTGGTTGTTGTTGTCGTGGGGGACGCCGGCGGGGCCCCTTGGAGGTACTCGCTCAGCTCGCTAGTGTCCATCCCAGGCCTAGTGGCGTCCACCACATGGCTCGTTTGGGTGGCCGGTGCCGAAGGGTCCTGTTCGACCGTGCTCGTCGGTGATAGCGGGCTCACACTCGCATACTGATGCGCGGGTGTCTCGTTCCTTTGTGCGGTGCTGGACGAAGCTAGGGCGGCGAGCTCGAGATCCTCCTCTGACCTGCCCGCAGCGCCCCGCACGACGACGCCGAGCAGTCCATCCGTCTCATCCAACGCCCCCATCTCCTCTCGACTGGCCCGGCCTACTAGTGGAAAGTCCATTGAGTCTCTCAAGTGTGCTCCCAGCCTCATCATGGCAAAGGCGTCCAAGGTGTCGGTCCAGGTGGGCAGGCTGTAAATGTAGCAGACGAGGACAACAAGTGCAATGGCTTGCATGCTGATGAGCAGGCTAATGGCAACGGTGGCGCCCACGGTGTACCGCGGTGCGACAAACTCGGTGCCGGCCAAGTTGTAAATGGTCCTCGCCGCATCGTTGGATGCGGCGTCTTGTAGGACGGCCACGTTGGACAAGTACATGCCGACGCCGAGAGTGCTCTGCGCCACCTTGACATACTGAAGGCCTTGTGCGATCCGGAACAGTGTCTTGGGGAGCTCGGCAAGCGAGCATCCCTGGTAGATGGACGAGTACCACGAGTCGTAGTCGTCATTGTGAGAGTTGTATGGCAGCTGCCACGCACCGAGGGGCGTCGGCAAAGAGCACGCCCTGCGTTTTGCATCGCTGTCGGACGTGGTGTTGTCGGGTACTTGGCCGTCCGGGAAGGTCTGACTCAAGAGATCAAGCACAACCTGTGGGTATGAGCCGTTGCCAAAGAGCGCCTCGGCTGTTGACCGCAACGGGCCTTGTGTAGAGGTCCAGCCGGAAAATCGGTCGCGGTTCCAGTCGTCTTCAGACTCGTTGGTGATGAGGTTACCCTGCCAATCGTAGTCGTGGAAACGCGCTGCCATGTCTTCGTCCGAGGGCCACTCGCTGATGATGTCGGACGGAACAAGTCCCGTTTGAAGGTTGCCAATCTCGAAAAAGGCACGGCTGGTTTTGGCGACACACTTGATGGTGACGTTCTGAGCCGGTTCCGATAAAAAGTCCTGGGTCTTTGCCGCCTCTGGACTAATCTGTGCGTCAATGTAGAGCACTTCATCGACGTCTTGTCGTCGCCTAGGCGGAACCCCACGGGTTGCAGGGCTGGTATTGTTGCGAGGCATGCACGTTCTCACACTGATGCCGAAGCCTTGGAGGGACGTCGCGTACCCGTCGCAGTTGGCGGGGTACTCGTCTGCAACTTGGCAGGCTGCGGTGGAGCTGAGCCGGATCGAGTGCTGTCGGAGAGGTCCCGTCGTGACGCCGGCGGGGATTGCTGATACCCAGAAAGAGTCGTTGTACGTCTGGTCCTCTCCCGTAACGAAGCTCCGGTGGTTGTCGTCGACTCGCCACAGGTTTTCTTGAATGTCGGCTGACGTGATGTTGACCATCTTCGTTCTGACCGTGTTGACGATTTGAGATGCGTTGGCCTCTCGGAGCAAGACGGGCTCGGCGTCCTTGCCAATCGCCTGGGCCGGCTGTCCCTTGCCGTCGCATGTCCGGTCCCACTTGCTCAAAGATCGGAGACTGTCGCATGAGTACACTGGACGGCTCGATGGCGGCATCAGCAGTGACTGCAGTGGCGGCTGTACGGCAGCTATTGCATGTTAGAAAGAGTAGCCCCTCCTCCCAAAAGACTTGTAACGTACTGAGAAGAAGCAGTCCAGTGGCCAACAGGAGATAGGAAGACGATTGGCCGCTGGAGACAAACGCTGTCCATTTCAAGTCGGAAATGGCAAGCAGCTGCCTCACGGTGAGGGTCTGCTGCTTGGATCGTCGCTGCGAGAAGACGACTGCGCCGTAGGCTAACAGAGCGGCAACGCACGGCAGAGCAATAACAGCCGCCACAGTGCTGAAAAACGAAGCTGCAGCGATCCAACGGTGATATGAGTCGAGGTCTTGCCGCATGATAATCCCCCATGGGTCGGAAGTCGTTTTTCGGTTAATAACGCAAACGCAGAGCCATGGTGCGATGAGAAGCACCAGGTAGATGACGAGTATGTAAATCGGGCGGCGAGCGTATCGCAGCGGTTGCCGAGACATGTCGACCGGCTTCGAAGCCGTGTATCTCGGCGGCGGTCCTTCTGTCCGAGTCTGATTCCTGTCCATCGTGACTGTCCTTTTTGGAAATAGAAAGGACGAGGAACACCAGACGAAGGAAGACACAATCGTATTATGGCAATTGCCATGATTGCTTAATTGGCTGTTTGGCGCCTTTTTAGTTTGCCGCGAGGCGTTTGCACGGTCGCCAAGGGCTGGCTGACGGCAGCTGACCGCAGGGCGAATGTTGCAATTTCCCTGCGAGCCTAGAGGAATGCGTGCAGGAATGAAGTGATGGGGCACAGCGTGCACAGCATCCTTCGGGACGACTGCTTGCCACGCATGTTTTGCTTTTGAGACCAGTCAGTGCGACGGAGCGGGACATGGCATAGCTCTGCCGGTGCCAAATAAAGAGTGTGCAGGTCAAGGCCGTCATTCGGACATTGTGTCGCAATGTGCATCCCCCGCCCACATGCGTGTGTTGATTTATTCCCCATTATAAGTGTCCTGGCCGTAGGTCTCGTTGAGTGTTACGCGCGTTATAATTTCTTCGTTTTCCATGCGGACCCAGCTCTCCACCGACATGTCTGGGTCGTCGCCCTGCGTGAAGGACAGCTTAATCATCCGAGCGCCGCGTTCCCAGGTGCCATACCCGCCGTAGCCCGTGTGCTTTGCAAAACAGAGGAATGGGGCCTCGGCGCCGAGTCCGGCCTCATGGCCGGGCCAGGTCGAGCACCACGAGTCGCCGTGGTCGTGCCCAACATAGATGCTGTGGAGACCCTCGGCCTCGAGCAGCGCCTCGACGAAGGGGGCGTCCTCTCCGCCCTCGCCTTGGATGGCTAGCGGGCTGTCGGCATTCAACCCAGGGAACTTGGCAGAGTCGAGGTTGGTCTGCTGGGCAGTCAAAAAGATGTGAGGGGGGATGTGGACAAAGGCGACGCTGGGAATGACACGGCCGTGCTTGTCCTTGAGGTCGTCGTAGGTCTTGGTAAACCATTCGGCCGTCTCGGGGGCAACCCAGTTTGGAATGTCGTCCATGTTATCGGAATCCGTCTGGTAGCTAGTGCCGCCCCGGCTGTCAAAGAACCACAGTAGCAGAATGGGGTCTTTGGAGTCTCCCTCGTAGACAGGGACGTAGTAGTTTGTGATGCCCGGCAGATTGTCGCCCATGGACGTTGTGTAACAGAGGTCGTAGCCTTTTTCGGCACGGAACAGCTGCTCGCGGTCCAACGTGTGCTTGGAGTCGTGGTTGCCGTAGACGGATGCCCACCGCTGGTTCGTCTTGACGAGGGGCGCGACAATCTGGTCAATGTAGAGCGTCGAGTTCTCCTTGTGGGTATCCTCGCCAGTAATGAGATCGCCGTTGAATACGACAAGGTCGGGCTGTTCGCTCTTCATGACAGATTGCATGACTCTGCTGGAATTCTTGTCCTGATCAATGCCCCAGCCAAATTCCTGCTCTCCGTAGTGCAGATCGGAGAAGATGGCAATGAGGTAGTCGCGCTGGCCCGACACCCTGAGCCTGGGCTTGCTTATTGACGGCTCCGTTAAAGGCCACTTGCCAGGCGAAATCTTGGTCATCATCATGAACATGGCCGCGAAGCTGATGGAGAAGACCAGGACGAGCTGACACACCCTCTCGGCCAGTCGAAAGGATGACTGCGGCGGGCGCGGCTGCACCGCCTGCTCCAACTTTGATTCTGGCATGATGGAGTGTTGTACAGTGGCGGGGTATGAAAGAGATGGGAAACTGGTGGAAGACAAATTCGCGCGATGATTGGGGTCCAGCCAAAAAAAAAAACAAACAAGAGAAACAATTCAATTGAAGGTAAGGTGGAAATGGAGAAGAAAAGAAAAAAGTTGATGGGATTCTATCAAAGATGATGCCCTGCAGATTGCCAAAGGCGACTTGTCGCCCGGGGAGCTTCGAGTGCTGGATGCAGCTGGGGTTCCAAGGGCCAAACAATCCCAAACAGAGCCAAAACGGGCCCACTGTGGCAGATGCCGTTTTTGGGGGGGCATAGTCCCACCAAAACCGAGGGGCCCAAGCCAACCGGGAAAGACGAGACGAAGACGGGCGGGAAGGACGTGCAGATGGTGCAGAAACATCCACCCGGTGTCACCAAACCAAACCAAACCATATGGATTGTTGGAGACGGAGTAGTGACAAAATCATCAAGTGTAGTCAAGTGCCAGGATGCTCGTCTGTTCTTCGCCTCGCCTCATCTAAATAATCTGCCATGGGCAATTGGCGCTAGGGGATACGACATCACGACAGCTTGGGACTCCAGCTCACAGCCCGCCGACGTGTCCCAAATGAAGTTGTAACAACGTCTATGAAAGTTAAGAAGCCGGTCCGGCGGGTTTCCTCCTATGAGGGTAAACTTTGCTGAACGACCCGACTCGCGAATGATCCGGTGTGTCTGCGCCCCTGTGGTGATCTCGTCTTTTGGAAAAGCCTATCCTGGGCAACATCTTGGTAGTAGCATCCACCAACCAGTGTTCACAGTTCACACAGAGCACCAGAACGATAGCACGCGCCTCTACTCATTTGGACGCGTCGTCTCACGATGCCACTGTTGAGTTGCGTCACCGCATGAGACAGTCACAGAGGCCCCTGAAAGTCGTGAGTCCCTTGCACTTTCCCTGCAACGAAGCTCCTGGTTGACGATAAAGCTTCAGTGGGTCAAAGTATCCTCTCTCGCTGCATGCTAGTTGAATGCATCCGATACCATGGACATCACTAACAAATACCGTCTTTTATCGGACAGAGTACATGCCCCCCGTAACCAAGCTTTCCACAGCTCCAACAGCAACTCAATTGCACCTTCCCAACTCGTCCAAGCTGCCATTACTCCTAACTCGGACTCGCAATCGAAAGTTGTTCCGATCTGACATTTGAGCTCCTGGTAAACAGATAATGTAATGTCCCTCATTCGCATAACTTGACCTCTGTCCCCAATTGTCAGTTACCATTGCTCGCGACATAGCACCGTGTTACAATGGCACAACCACACATCCCCTCCAAGGAGGCGGACCTCTTCCTGGACTCTTTTCAGGTCCCGCCCCCGTACGAAGCCGCCGCGTATCCCCGCATCCGGCCCCGCCGCACTCTCCTCCGAAGCCTCATCTCGCCCCGCGTGCTCGTCTGCGTCTTCATCGGCGGCCTGCTCGCCTGGCACACGTTTCTCATCGAACGAGAGACTGTTATCCGCGATGCTGCAAGACATGCGTCTCCGTCGGCCCATCTGGCTCGCTTTGATGAGTCCTTGAAGCACTGCGCTGCTCTCAAGACATTTCCAAAGAGCCCCGAGCCAGAGACTCGCAAGTCCAACTCGAGATGGAACGCTGTCCGCGGCCAAGATAAGCCGGTGGTGCTGCGCAACATGACCTTCTTTGACGGCGAATCCATTGCGTCCGAGCCAATGGACATCAAGTTTGAAAAGGGCCTGTTCACCGAGCTGGCAACAACGGCTTCCAAGTCCATCAGCTCCGATGGTGCCACCGAACACGACTTGCACGGTCGCTTCGTGACGCCCGGTCTGGTCGACATGCACTCGCATCATGCCGCGAGCCTGTGGCCGGCTCTGTCCGTCACCGAGGACGAGAATGAAATGACAAAGACCTACGGCCCCCTCACCCCGATGCTGCGCATCCTCGACTCGATGAAGGCGTACGATGACGCTACTCGCATCATCATGTCCGGCGGCATCACCACGTCGCTCATCTTGCCCGGGTCCGCCAACATCATGGGCGGAGAGGGTACCGTGATCAAGAACGTCCTCAAGTCGGGAGAGCTGGGCGAGTACGTCGTCGAGGAGCTGCTGCTTGAGCGAGATATCCCTGTCGAGGAGCGCCATCGATACATGAAGCTGGCCTGCGGCGAGAACCCCAAGCGTATCTATGGCCACACCCGCATGGCCAACGCCTTCATCCTCCGCGAGCAGTTTGCCAAGGCCAAGGAGCACATGCAGAAACAAGACGAGTACTGCGAGAGCGTCGCCACCGTGTCGACCTTGTCTGATGAGGTCAAGGACAGCTTCGTCCGAGAGTCTGGCAGCTTTCCCGCCGACCTCAAGCTCGAGTCCACCGTCGGGATGCTCCGCGGCCGGGTCTCCATGCAGAACCACTGCTACCTCCCCGAGGACTTTGAGACCATGCTCCGGGTCACTGGCGAATACGGCGTCCGCGTCCGGGCCTTCCACCACGCCCTCGAAGCCTGGCAGGTTCCTGAGATGCTAAAGGCGTACGGCGAGTAGGTGGCCAGATTTTATTCGTGAGTGAATCATGCTGACCAGCGCAGAAACGTCACGGTCGCTACCTTTGCCGAGTTCAGTCTGTACAAGTTCGAGGCTTGCGCACCAAGCCTCTCTGCGGGCAAGATCCTCAACGAGCATGGCATCCCCGTGGCCTACAAGTCAGACCACACCGCACCCGAGACGAACGCAAAGTACATCATGTTCCAAGCGGGCGTCGGCCACGCGTTCCACCTCCCGGAAGAGAAGGCTCTGCAGTCCGTCACCTCCATCCCCGCCAAAGCCATCGACCTGGGCTACCGTGTTGGCTACGCTCGCCCGGGCTACGATGCGGATCTGGTTGTCTGGGATGCCCACCCGCTATCTATCGGAGCGACTCCCCTGCAGGTGTACATTGACGGCAACCCCCAGCTGAAGCACCACATTGTTCAGGAGAGCATGGGCGAGGCCTTTAATGAAGCATCGGCCAAGGAGTCCCGCCCCGTGAAGCCCAACATGAGAACGGAGCTGGCGCCGGAGAAGAGGGAAGCGTTCTGCAGTAAGACCGCCAAGTCAAAGTCCAGTTTCGTCATCAACGGCATCACGAGCACATTTTTGGAAAATCACCCACAGGTGCCCACCGTCTTCCGCGACGTCACCGGCGAAAACTTTACTCTCGTGATCAACAGCGGCAAGGTCGCCTGTCTTAGCACACCCGAGAACTGCTCGTCCGCCGTCGCCAAGGTGGCATCCAAGTCCGACGTCACTACCCTCGACCTCTCCAACGGCCACGTTCTGCCCGGATTGACGGCCCTCACAGCCTCCCTCGGCATGGTTGAGATTGCGACGGAGGATTCCACTGGAGACGGCTTTGCCGACCCGAAGAAGGACGGAAACGACCCAGAGAACCTCGACTACGCAAAGTACGGCGTCCAGCTGGAGGGCAAGGCCTTTGCCCGCGCACGCCTCGGCGGCATCACCCGCGCCATCACGCCACCCCTCAGCTCCGAGGGTGGTGCTTTTGTCAACGGCGTCAGCGTCGGCATCCTCACGCGCACCGATCGTACGCTCCTCGACGGCGGCGTTTTCCGGCCCGAGGTGGCGCTTCACGTCACCATTGACGATAAGGCAAAGGAGAGCGTGGGCACCATTAGCACCGCCGTCAAGAAACTCCGCAAGATTCTCGCCGACGGCCAGGGGAAGCACAATGAGACGACCTTTGGTGAGGTTGCGTCAGGCAAGCTGCCGCTCGTGATCAATGCAAATAACCACGTGGGTCTACATTCAGCATTGCAAAGACGAAGCTAACAGGAGCAGTGGGACATTCAGCAAATCATCAACATCAAAAAGGACTTTCCCGACGTCAACCTCGTCATCCAAGGCGGTGCCGAGGCGCCCCTGGTGAGTCCACACACATATGCTTCAGCACTACAGGTCTAACGCAGATTTAGGTCGCCCTGGAGCTCGCAAAGTCCCAGATCCCCCTCATCCTCACCGAGACTCGTCCCGCGCCCTCCTCCTATAGACACCGCGATGCCGTCGTTGGCCCGCCCCTGACCCCGAGCGTCGCCCGCATCCTCAGCGAGGCGGGCGTCTACTTTGCAGTCGCCATCGTCACGGACAGTGAGTCACATATTGCTGCGGCAATGGGTCTACAGAGAGAGCTAACAAATGGCCAGTCATGCCCGCAGACTACCGCATCCACGACCTCGCCCTTGAAGCCGCGTGGGCCGCCAAGTACGCCAACCTCGACGACAAGGAAGCCATCCGCCTCGTGTCCGGCAACGTCGAGGACATTCTCGGCCTGCCCAAGAGCAGCGACATTGTGGTGTGGGAGGGCAGCCCGCTCGAGTTTGGCGGCACCGTCGCCCTCAGCTTCGAGGTGGACCAGAATGGCGACCTCGAGGTTGCCGCTTGCTGGCCGCACGAGGATGACCGTTAGAGAGGGGTATGACGATGCCGCCTGCCGATGAGTAGAGAGGCACCGTCCCGGTGGAGGGTCGGGTTGGATTATTCGCTGAGTTCGTCTTGGGTTGGGTGCTCATATGGCTGCGTAAAGTATGCAGCTGATATATTGGCGGATGTTTATTTCCATACGATACGCTTCAGGACGAAATGTATATCTAGATAGTGTATACTAAAGTACATTCACAGCTTGCTAGGTCGTCGAGTGAGGGGCAGCGTCACACATATACAAGCTATGCGAAGGGCCATGCCACATAGCTCGCTGTGTAACACGTGAAGTTGTCAGATATAGACTACGCGGCACATCTATAGTCTGTCGCCATTGCCACGACTATCCAGAGCCCAAAGCCACAGTGTCACGGGCCAGAACATGACAGAGTCGTCTCTGCAAAGCGATTCGTTCCCGGACCAAGACACTTAAAAGGGGCACAACAACTCAAGACTTTATCCAACCTGCAACCACTAGACGGATAAAGTCTTGCGTCGGGACACATTTTCCCGCAAAACTGGGCAACACTGATTATTGCGCGACCTACGCAGCTACCCGTCGATACTAGGTATCCCCGCGGGACCGTGACTGTCAGCCCTAGCCCCGATGCACGCCCTTATCATCGGAGGCCGGGAACGCGGCACATGGCCAAACAGGCGCGCACGCACAAGCTTGCTCGCAAGATGCACCCGGGGGGAAGGGATTGCCAAGGGAGGTAAACAATGGAGCTAGGCGATTGATGGTGACGTGCTAGCGAGGCCGCACACGCAGGGACGGGAGCAGATGCGATGGCTGATTTCACAAAGCGGCCTCGGCCTCGGATGGCGATTTGAGAGAAATCCCTCACAAGAGATTTGGACACGGGACGGATGTAATTCCGTCATCGTCCCGGGCAGCAGCAAGCCACGTTGATCTTTTCGGCTGTGCTTGCCTGAGAGCTTAGGTCAGTGATGAAGAGGCGACACGTTGCCAGAGATGAGATGACACCGTCTGGCCTTGGTTCGGCTCGGGATGGTGCGGCGCCGTCGATCCGTCCCTGCGGTGCAGACGGGGGCAGACTGACACTTTGGCTAGCAAGGACCATCGCAACTTCCAATAGGAATAAGAAAGCTCAGAGTGCATGACAAACTGCCGGTCGCCGAGAGGTGCGTTGCAAATTGCAACTAGAACGCACAATAAGCTCGCTAGGCGTGCCGCGTTGATGGCGCGCGCAGAGATGCCAGCGATGACCTCGCTGCCTTGATTTCTTTCTAGCCACGGCGTCGAGAGACAATTTGTTTCATCCTCAATTTGCCCAGTTGCGGCGTCTGGCTCACATTTGCCGATTGTCTAATTGAGCGGACCGCCATTGAGGACCAGGCGTTTTGGAAGCGCGCGCCAGCCGATTTCCCGCCAGACGGCGGCTCAGGGGGACTCCCAGGGCGCAAAGGGAGAGAGCCCCTCTGCCCAGGAAAAAGAGCTTGTTACTATATGGGCTATTATGTCAAGAGAATTCGTATCGCCAGGCGCAACCGTCAGTCATCTCGCCTGTTTCCTTGGGACTTACTCGTAACCTGGTTTTCCACCTCTTGGCACTTTGGGACCCCGACGAGAGCCACCGTGGCGCTGCAACACCCCATGCAACCATTGTGAACCCCAGGGTTGGTCAACTTGGACGTACGGAGTAAGCGGGCATCGTTCAATTTGGAGATGAAGAGAGGCGGTGTTGACGATGGTGGACTTGTCGGTGAGCCCTTGCCCAGACAAGGCCGTTGTCATTCCAAGATGCATCGGCGATACTGCTCGAAGAAAATTGAGTCTGTCTCTGATCCAACTGTTTCCGGGGCTGGCTGAAGACAACCTGGCGCGTGTCGAAGTGAGACTGTTGCAATTCAAGACATATGACCAAATGAGGAATATTTGTTTGGAATTATCCCACGAGTGCGCCTAAAAAAGCCCTCGGAACGACATTGTTTCGTCATTCTGAGTGAGTTGCTTGAAGTCAAACAGCTACAGCTGGATTCTCGCCCGGTCGGAGACGCATCACGCTGTCCCCAGCCACTCCGACGACCACCAGCGAGGTGTCCTGTGTACTCTCGCGGGACTGTAGATGCAACGCGCGAAGTGGTGGTGGTGGTGTATGCTGTAAATCGGAACAGCCCTCAAGCAGGTTGCCGGAGACATGAATTGTGGCATTCTTCTAGTGCTTGTCGACTCGCCAGCCATGAAAAAATTCGTCGCAGCTGAGTGCCGGTGCGATGGCCGGGGACTGATGCCAGGTTGCAGCCGGAGGCAGCAGTCAATCTCCCCGCAGGAGCGCTGCCGACTCGGGAGGACATGATTCGCCGGGCAGTCCGTGATTGTTTTCTCGAACACACGGGTCAACATGGGATGAGCGCCAGGATCAGGCGTTTCGAAACCCCACCAGCCGCCGACCCAGTCGACTCCTCCAGAGTACGGAGTATAGAGTCCAGAGCTCGTGGGCAGGCCTGTGATCTGTCATGGCCGATCCCCCAGCCTTTGGAGGTATCGACAGAGGTCTGGACTCTGCTAGGGCCGATTGTATCGCAGCTTTTTTGGGCCGGATGGAACCGAGGGAGTGGAATGGTGAGCGACTATTAGATCGCCTTCATTCTCGCTGGAGGATGAATGGGATTGTTCGGTGGTTTGAGTCTGGGAGTTGTGCCCCAATCGAGCGTCGCGCGACCAGAACAGACGTTTTGCGAGGGATGGAGGTGGGGAACGACAAGTTGGATGCATAAGTTATGCAGCTAGAAAACTCTTTTGCCCGGCCAAGGCCAAGAAACCCAGAGTCAAGACAATGGAAAGACATGGCCATTCCGGCGGGAGGCAAGAAAGGGATTGTTCGAAGGGTGGTTCAGTTTGGAAGAATGACCCCGAGATTCCGAATGACAGGTTTGATGTCTCGCAGGTGATGTTGCTGAAGCTCGATACGGTCGGAACTGTGTTCACTCTTTCCAGCCTTTTCGAAAAAGGTCTCAAGTGCCGACTCAGATGCGGTTTCCTATCTTGTCCGTCTCCTACTTCCTGCCCGTTGCTTCTTGGAAAAAAGTCTCAAACCCTGTAATTTAGCAAGGGCGAGCCCCTGCGCAAGTGGGATAAACATGCTGGGTACCGCTTGACCGGATAGGGTTAGCGGGAAATAAGGTAAACCGTAACCTTCTGTTGTCCCTTCCCAAAGACATCGAGGCAGCAACGACAGACGGGACGTTGTCATGTTGTGTGGAAGGCGCTGCTGATATCTGCGCCTTTGGTCTTCCGACAGCATTCCCGAATCATCGGCATCCCGCATTGCTTATTCGAGTCCATGGCAATGTCCACCGTCATTAACACCTCACGACATGCGGGACGGACCAAGAGCTTGTAACTTGCAAGAGGCAGACACTTGACAGGCTGCCAGGACGTCATGGGCCGAATCATGGATGCCCTTTGCCCCTGAAATATAGCAGCGACCCGTGTGCCAACCGCCACCAAGCCCTGAGCGTCGATAGTCGCTGGAGCCTGGTGGTGCTGGCAGCTATGTGTTTCCAAACGGGCGGACGCCTCTGATCCGCCAAATCAAACTTTTGCAGCGCCACAAACGGGCACTTGAAGCCCTTTGCCCAGGAGGCCGGCTGGCAGTTGGGTATTCTCTTCCGTGGTGTGTGGTCTCGGTGAAAGCTGACTGGACGCCACGTCGCGCGGCACAAACGCTAGCGAGAGAAGAAGCCCAGAAACCAGGGGCGAGTCAGCGTGCCTTTTTTTCGTGCTAAGAACAGCTCCGGCGTCACACTGAGCGACAATTGACCTCGGGCCTGCACAATTTTGGCAGTTGAGCTTCGCATTCAGCCAATGGGAAGTCGGCAACGCTTATGCACTATGCAGGAACCAGCCGTGCAGCACACCATCTCAACTTTTGTGCACTCCCGTCTCCTATCCATTGCGTGAGTGCAGACATCAGATGAGCGGGGGGTCCAAGGTCCAAGGGGTCGTCAGCTTGCCGCCGTTTCGTTTCTTCTCAGCTTTTTTGTAGTGGTGCAGTGGTGTAATGTACTCCGGGCGATTCGTCTAGGCTCTTGTCTCCCCGTTCTTTTTCCCTTTTAGAAGAAATGCGGACAGTTTCTTGGTTGTGTCGAACATGTACTCGAAAATAGCAGTCAGAAGGTTACCAGAAATCAAGCATGTCCCTGTTCATCCCATCTCTCGAGTCGATACATCTTATCACAAGGTACCTTCGTCTTGCTTCTGTCCGCCACGTTGTCGAGGTGCAACCCTCCTCACGCTTAACCTACCTTATGTACGGATACTGCTATCGCCCTGTGCTCGAATACTTCATCGCCAGATTGCACTACCACAAACACTCCATGGCGTCACGGCTGAGCGTCCCTGGCCACCCTGCTAGCGCCTTCCTACCACCCGGGCCCCCTTCCCAGATCCAAGGTACCTCGCCGTAGCCTGCCAACTGCCACTCACGGTATGCCCCCCGTCCCGCCCGGGTCTGGGTCCCAGCTGCCGTCCGATGAATATATTACTTCCCACTTCTTCCATCCTCCACCGTGGATCTACACCCCGACCTCACCTTCTCCATTCCACCACCTTTCCCTGTCGACACTTGCTGGGCATTTTATTCTCTCCTTTCATCATTCCTTTTTCAACCCACAAAACGCTACAGCTTGCTGAGCACGTCCTCTCATTACAACTTCCAGACAGCCTTCTTTGATCTGTCTCATTCCACTCACTCGCCACTTTCGTCACTCACCGAGTTGCGATATACACCCTTCAATTCAACAGGTGCTCCGGTATCAGCACCCACACAGTCCCTACTCAACCAGCAAGAGTCCCAGCGACCACTTTGATACCCGTCTCATATCACACAATCACCCAACCGTACAATCAACCACCATGAAGTTCTCCGCTGCCACTACTTTGGCTGCCCTTCTGGGCGCCGCCTCGGCCGGCTCCAAGTCCGATGACAGAACCTTTGCCGTCCTCCGCTTCAACAACAAGCAGCTCGTCAAGACCCGTGTTGATCCCATCATCAACCCCGGAAAGCCCGCGACCCACGTCCACGGCGTCATGGGAGGAAGCAACTTTGGCATGTCGGCCACTGGCGAGACTCTCTCGCAGTCCAAGTGCACCAACGCCATGATCAACGGCGACAACAGCGCCTACTGGTTCCCGTCTCTTTACTTCCAGGACCCCAAGACCAAGGAGTTTGAGGCTGTCGATGTTTTCTACGTCAACGTCTACTACTTGTGAGTATGGCTGTTTCCTGAACTAGGTTCTCTACTAACACCGCCCAGCTTCGATGGCACCGATGACGAGATCAAGGCCTTCCCCAAGGGTCTGCAGATCTTTAGCGGTAATTCCTCCGCTCGCGTTGCCCCGTCGTCCGGAGGCAAGGAGAACCTCGAGCCCGCGGACGGCCCCATCCAGCCTGTTCAGTGGACTTGCCCCAGATCCAACTACAACCCGCCGTCGTACCCTGCCAACTCTGACGGTACCACGGCCGGCATCGTCGATCCCAACAACGACGGCTCCGGAGTCGGATTCCCCGACCAGAACTGCGACGGCTACGCTTCTCCCCTTCGTGCCGATGTCCATATGCCTTCCTGCTACAACCCCAACGCTGCCCTGACCGACTACGAGAGCATGGCCTGGCCCTCCAACAAGGGCGCGTCGAACAGCCGCCGCAAGAACTGCCCTGCCGGATGGATCCACGTTCCTCACATGTTCTTCGAGGTCTACTGGGACACTCCCAAGTTTGCCAGCCGCTGGACGCCCGGCCAGGGCTCGCAACCCTTTGTCCTCTCCAACGGTGATGCCACTGGTTACAGTCTCCACGCTGACTTCATCGCTGCTTGGGATGAGAGCGTTCTCCAGCAAATCATTGACAACTGCAACGCCGGCTCTTCTGGTATGGACAAGTGCCCTGGTCTTCTCAAGGGCCTCAACACCAACAAGGACTGCACAATCTCCTCTCCCGTTGACGAAGTCGTCGATGGTCTCATGAGCAAGCTCCCCGGCGACAACCTTCTCACCTCCTTCGGTTCTATCGTTGGCGGTGGCAGCAGCGGCGGCAGCGGCAGCGGCAGTGGTTCTGTTGTCAAGCCTTCTGGTTCCTCTACCTCGTCTGCTGCGACGGCTGCTTCTGCCAAGCCCTCTGCCGTTCAACCTTCTGCCAGCAAGCCCGCCACCTCTGGCTACGTCAGCCAGGAGGAAGTCCCGAAGACATCCGCCGTCGTTTCTTCCGAGCTTCCCATTCAGGTCGCCCCTGAGAAGGCCAGCACCAAGGTTGCCGAGACGTCTGCCGCCGCTGCCGTCCCTACCACCAACGCAGTCGCGCCCAAGGCCTCGGCCTCTGGGTGCTCCCGCAAGACCAGGACCGTCTACAAGACCGTCACCGTCACCTCTCCCGCAGAGGAGTCCAAGGCCGCCGCGACCCCCGCCGGCTCTACCGACAGCTACAAGGCTCGTCGCCACGTCCATGAGCACGAGCACCTCCACCGCCACCGCAGCAACCGCAAGTAAACGGTTTGTCCATCGAACCTATGCGCGCCGCCAGCCTTTTTGGTTGCGCCTGTATCAAACTTTTCTTCGTTAGACATTCTAGGGCCGTGGCTGGGATGGGAGTTTGAGACGTTATTTTTTGGACACTGGGACTCGGCGGGGTTGTTTGGAAAAGCATCCCCATTTTTGTGCGCGAGCGTACGCGCGGATTTCTTTTTTTGACGATGATGATGATCAGTTACATACTCACACACCTTTGAACCGGGGGGAAGCAAAGCTTGGGGAACACGAGCAAGCTCAAGGGCAACTGGATTCCGCTTCTTGTTTGCACCTTGGAACACATACATTTCGATTCTTACACGGGTCTCTACAAACGAGGCACCGCATTTGGGAAGGGGTTTTGAGAAGTGGTTATTTGCCTGGTAGTCAGATAGACAATTGAGCCAACCAAGTACCACCACTGACGAGTAAGCCACGTGAGAAGTGTATGTCTGTCATTTGTGCTGGTGCCATTGCATGGACTGCGGCCCACCAAATTGGCGCCTGGACGTCGAAATAAGGTTATTTGGTCCACGCGAAACAAATCGACCTCATTCAACTGCATTGTCAAACCCATGATCCAGATGCCGACTCAAAAGTTAATTTAACAAGTCGCAGTAACCATTTCTCGGCGAAGCAAGGGACACATCGAGACATGCGCGTGTCTGGCAGTCTCAATTGGCCAAGCAATCAGCCCGTCCGTCCACTGCCGCCGGTCCCCACAAATTCTCCGAGCCAGCGGTGCCCACTGTAGAAATTTCTCTTCACCTCATCCGCCGATACCCCACAGCCGCACACCGAGACACGGCTACGGTGACCAACGTCAATACATACGGACAGCCGGCACTATGTCGCTGTATCACGAGGCTGCCGACATTCTCTCAGCGAGCTCCGATCACGGCGGCAGCTTGAAGAGCCGCGTCTTTGGCAAAAAAGGTCTCAAGTCGCCGCCGGCGCAGGTCTACGCCCTCGCACTGGAGACGTGCAAGTGGAGTGCCATCTTGAAGGAGGTCATCGAGGCGGCGGACATTCTGCGCCATGAGCGCAAGGTGAGTCTACCGCATCGTAAGGCCGTTGACTGCCGCTGACTCTGCAGCTCACACCTATGCTAGCGCTACTGCTGGTGCACGACTTCCTCCTGGCCAAGAAGGGTATCGCGCTGCCCCAGTCTCACGGTCTCAGGACAACCATTGAGCGGCACAAGGCAAGACTGACCTCTGAGCTCACGCGTGCCCGTTTGCGGAGGAAGATGTCGTCGTTGGAGCTGCTACGGGCCGACGTTAACGCCAACGCGGACCCTGAAGGAAGACACCCTCGCTGGATCAGGGTGAACGTGCTCAAGAGTACTGTGGAGGACCAGCTTGAGACCACCTTTAAAGGGTACGAGAGGGCGCTTTCCATCGAGGCCGTGACACAGGCAACGGGCAAGGCCATCTTTATCGACACTCACATCCCCTTCCTCCTCGCAGCATCGCCTGGCACGGATGTGACCAAGACGCAGGCCTACCTCAAGGGCGAGATCATTCTACAGGATAAGGCGTCCTGCTTTCCGGCATATCTCCTGGACCCGCACTCCGAAGATGGCGACGTTATCGATTCGTGTGCGGCGCCGGGGAACAAGACAACGCACCTCGCAGCGATTGTCAAGTCGCACGAACCCGAGCAAGCAGCCCAAAAACAGACCATCTTTGCGTTCGAGAGGGACTCCAAGAGGGCCCAGACGCTGGAGAAGATGGTTAGGATTGCTGGCAGTCGAGGCATGACCAAGATCGGTCCTGGCCAGGACTTTTTAGATGTTGATCCCACGTCTGACGCATACAAAGACGTCGGAGCCCTGCTGCTGGACCCCAGCTGCTCTGGCAGCGGTATCGTAGGGCGCGATTCGATGCCAGAGTTGCATCTCCCGGAGGTCCCTGGCCCGCCTGGATCCAAGAACGCAAAGGGAAAGCCGTCGAAACAGGACGACCGTAAGCGCAAGCGGGACGAAAAGGAGGAGCCCGGCGCGGTAATGGTCGATGATGACGGCAATACGGTCGAGGTTCAGTCGGAGCAGGAGCTGCAAAAACGCCTGGACGCGTTAGCCGGCTTCCAATTGACGCTTTTGCTTCACGCCATGACGTTTCCCGCTGCCAAGAAGATTACCTACTCCACCTGCTCGATACACGCAGAGGAGAACGAGGGCGTCGTGATCAAGGCCCTCGCGTCAAAAGTTGCAAAAGAGCGCGGCTGGACGATCCTACCGAGGCAGAAGCAGGTTCGCGGTATGCGGGAGTGGCCCGTCCGTGGACTACCCGAGGCGGCTGGAGGTGATGAGACTGTAGCGGAAGCGTGTATTCGTACATACAAGGGCGACGGTCACGGGGTGATGGGGTTCTTCGTTGCCGCCTTTGCGAGAGAGGAGCCGGTCGACGAGGATGGCCCGTACTTGAGAGACGACGAGGGGCGGATCGTGAGGGATGTGGCCGGGATGCCGATGCTCAAGAGCACAGGAAAGCCTGTGGTGCTGGAGACGCCGAATGTGAGCGCGCCCGAGGAGCAGAACTCAAGTGAAGAGGAGAGCGAGGACGCAAGCGATGAAGGCAGCGGCGAGGACGAGTGGAGCGGGTTTGACTAGGTCAGCTCTATGGAAGAGGTCTGGTGCTTGTAATAGAATAATATGTCAGTCCATTCAGGTCCACCTTCGTACCTGCCACGCCGTGTTTACTTTGACCTGCTCCTTCCTCCTCGAGAGACAACATCTATCGCCAGGAGAGCGGGTCCTCAGCCCTTCCCGGCAACACTTTTGCCTCGAGCCTTCCTTCCCTACTCGGTTTTTCCAACTTGTGTGCCTTTTATTTCTCTCAGCCTCGGGAAATATGCCCTCTGCTCTTCCCTTTCCGTCTGCTGCCTCGTCCAGTCCTTTCCAACTTCTACCCTCCACCTCGCTCTACTTTGGTACCTCGCACCCTCCAACCTTGGCTTCACCTTGCTCGACGTTATCTCGTCGTCTGCTCTGCCTTTCCAGGTTCTGCCTTCCCATCCTTCTTCCTCGACGACCTGGGCCCTTTGCTCGACTGTCAACCTTCCCAGTATCCATTTCACACCGGCGACCGGGGACAATCCCGCCTTCCCAGCTTGTATCTTTCCTACAGCCTGAGCACTTGCTCTTCAGTCAGCCATGGCGTCTCAAAACGAGATTGCCGAGTAAGTGCGACTCAGAAAAGTATGGGTGCAACAAGCTAACGTCTTCAGCCAACCCATCGTGGGCTCACAGCCATTGGCTCATCACAAGGACACATTTGCGTTCAGCACAAAAACATTCGATGACTGGAAGGCCTCCCCGCTGCCATCCATAAGTCTGCCCGAACCTTCTGGTCCTCGGTCTATCAAGTTTCTGAAGTTTAGCGGGGTCGAGATACGTTCGAGCGTTGTGGACTTCAAGCTGTCTCCCGATGAACCTTTGGATATGAATGCGGTACCGGATGGCTACGCTATTCTCAAGGTCACTGGGCGGTGTCCGATGAAGACCCAGGTACTCCAAGTCCGCATGAAGACAGTCTCCGACGCGTCGATTCGATGGGCACATGAATTCAAAAACCCCCCCAACCAGCGAGCCTGGGAGATTCATGCACGACCTGAGTTCATAAGCGATCTCATGACGATTCTCCATTCTGGTTTCTTGCCTTTTGGTCCACGCAGAAGTTGCCAGGACATTCTCGCTCTGTGCTACCTTGCCCGGCAGCACTTCATAATGGACAGAGTCAGACGAGTCCTGAATACGTTACTGCATGCCAGTACAGCCATGACCAACCAAGAGTTATGGTACATGGTCCTCGCAGCACAGCCACTTTGCTGTGACAACCAGAAAATTGGCCATCTTGCATTCAACATCTTGGTCTGGCGGCAAGCAGGCTCCTTCTACCCCCTCCGCGAGACTCAATTCTTGGAAGGGGACCACCTGTTCCACTATGAAGAGAGCAAACTCATCGGTAGGGCTTTTCCCTTTTCAACACTGACGTCGTGCTTTTGCTAATGCCAAGTTCTAGCGGATATGGAAGAGCATCGGCACTCATTCACCCTTCAGCTTTGTGAGGCGGCGAGCATGATTAACCCGAGTCTGCTGCGGACCATCTTCCTCCGCCCAGGCAAAGATCGGTCGCTGTGGGAGAAGTTCACCTATCTGCAGCACTTTTGCCATCTGAAGTTCCCCAAACTCCCACTCGGAAGCGGAGAGTGGTCCTTTGAGGCTGTTCTCAACCAAGAATCCCTCCAGATGGCTGTCGTCAGGGATGACGTTATCGACGGATCTCATCACTTGTACGGGGAGAGACTCTGGTCCGTGCTACGTGACATCTGGCTTCACATTGCTCAGATTTCCAACGAATACATCCTCTCGTAGGCGCACCGGGCCACTCTCGGAGACCGCTTTCACATTGTTACGAACACCGCTATTTCCCTTTGTCATGGTATGTAGCAGAGACCGAACGACAAAGGCAACAAGGGCATGAATGTTGAATCACAGTTGATTATTGTACGGTTATTGGGAATGGCGTTTGGATCGGGATTTTCTTCATAGCTGAGGCTAGGCTTGCTTGTCATAATGGAAAAAGTATTGTAAAGTCGTGGTTCCCTGCAATGTGACCTTGAACAAGCCTGGCCCTTGTCCAGGAGTCAATCCCTGTCGCCCATCAGACAGGGGTAACCGACGACATCCCACCCTTTCTATTCCATCAATCTCTTCCTCCCATCCGTCCGAAACCCACCAAGAAAAGAGAAAAATGGTTTCCTGTCGCTTTCTGTGGATGCTCCTGGTGCCTCTGGTACCTGGAGCGGCGGGGCAGGACCAGGTCCCGCTCGGCAACGAGATGAGGTTGATTGCCTGTAAGTACGTCTGACGGATAAAGTAGACATGCGCTGACAGTCCTAGGTGCCAAGGTAGGATGAAGTCGAAAGTTTGTGGTCATATTGCTGACCCAAAGGTTGATGGTAGTCTCCAGAGATCTCCAAGCACCTAGCGGCAGAGTGGGAAGCAGCGCAATCCGCAACCGATCTACCCATGGCCTGGAGCAAGGACGCCGCCGAGGACCACTGCGCAGACGCGCCAGCAACCGCCTACCCCTCCATCAAGCTCCTACGCGACGGCGAGCCGGCGGTAGACTACCTAGGCCCCATAACGAGTGACGAGTGAGTCTGCAGCCCTCCTCGCAGCAAAGCTGACACGTCGACAACCAGAATCCTCCGTTTCATCTACCGCGCCCGACGGCCCCGAGTCTCCAGCGTCTCAACCGAAGAAGCCGAGTCCTTTGGCAACGGCGACGCTTTTGTCTGCGTAGCTCACCTCGGCCCAGACGAGACGGCGCCGCTCCGGCGGGCCTTTGAAGCCGTGGCGCAGAAGCACTGGGCTGAGTTCACCTTTGGCGTCGTCGATACGCCAACATCCAAAGACGCCAAGGTCGTGTGCCGCAAACGCGACGACGAGAGCACGCACACGCGGAGCGCGGCGGACGGGCTCGAGGGCTGGGTCCTGGAAGTGTCCAGGCCCGTCATCGCGGAGCTGACGCCTTTAAACCACCAGCGATTCATCGACGTACGTCTCTCTCCTTGCCACACCAGCAGAAAATACTGACGAAACACAGCGCGCCTGGCCAATCGTCTACATCTTCTCACCTTCACCGCAGACCCGCGCTTCTATCCGCGCAGACCTCTACGACTTTGCAAAGAAGCAGTACGCCTCCCTGACGCCCGTCACAGTCGACCCGAACCGCTTCCCCGACCTCCCCGCCAGGCTCGGCCTCGACGTTCCCACGGAAGACGCGTACCCCGTTGGCGCGGTCCACCAGGTCTCCAACGGGAGGATCTACCCGTACCCCAAGGGCAGGGCTTTTACGCCGCGCGACCTGCAAGAGTGGGGGCTGGACGTGTGGCAGGGACGGGTCAAGCCGTGGACGCCGCCTGGGCAGGAGGCAGTCGAGGACGACAAGGCTGGGTCGGTGAAGAGTAACGTGAGGGTAGTGAGCTCGCACAATCTCAAGGTGAAGAACATTCCGGGGCTGAAGATCAAGATTGGTGGGCGGGAGCGGGATGAACTGTAAGGGCCAGAGGTGACTGTTGTGAGTTGATCTATTACTCTATGGTTATACAGATGAGGGGGGTCTATCTGGTATCTAATGTAGGCTCTTGTGGCCTGTCTAGTATGCTCTAAAATGCAAAACTCCTTGTAAATGCTAACATCATGCCGTGACACGTGCCGCTCCGGGTATCATTGTCTATCCATGCTTCCATCTCCAGATTCGTAGTGAAGAAATGTCGTCTATGCGTCGCCTAGATTAAGCCTTGGGGGTCTCAGGCTCACCTTGGACAGTCCGCTCGTCATCAGACAAAACACCGCCGTCGCTGGCAGAGACGGACTTGCTGCGCTTGTGCTCCTTCTCGTGCTCCTGCTCCTCGGCCATGGCGTCGTCCTCGTTGACCTCCTCGTGCGTCTTGCGCATGCGCTCCAGCACGGCAGCGGCCTCGGCGGCGAAGGCGCACTTTGCGCGGATGGCGGGGCCGTACTTGTAAAAGAGGAAGGGGACCGGCAGGCAGGCGAGGGCGAGGAAGGCCGGGATGGTCGAGGCCCAGTGGATGCCGAGGTTCTCGTACATTTGCGTGGTGAAGAGGGGGAAGGCGGCGCCGAAGAGGGATCGCATGACCGAGTTGGCGGCCAGGACGGAGGCGGCGAAGATGACGTACGAGTCGACGAGGTAGTTGAGCAGGCTGAGGAAGACGAGGACGAGACCTGCGGCGAAGAAGCCCGAGGCGATGATGGAGACGACCCAGTGGATCTCGGGGCCGTTGGTCCAGGCGAACCAGAAGAGGCCGATGGGAAGGAGGCAGGCTCCGACCATGGCGGGCGGGAGACGGGCCTCGGGCGGGGCGAAGCCGCCGTGGGCGGCAGAGACCTTGAGGTAGCGGCGGCTGTCGAAGCCGGTGTAGACGACGGCAAAGACCATGCCGACGGCGACGCCGAGGAAGGCCAGGCCGCCGACGCCGGGAGACCAGCCGCGGCCGCGCTGGAAGACGATGGGGAAGGCGGCGAAGAGCATGTACAGGGTGCCGTAGACAATGGCCATGTAGATGGAGGTCAAGAAGACGATGGGCTCCCTAAAGAGCAGGATCCAGGGGCGGGAAAGGGCGACCTTGAACTGCTGGACCGCGGTCTTGCGGGGCGCGTGGGCCTCGTACTTTGAAATGTAGTTCTTGCCCGTGATCTTGGCGAGCTTGTCGGCGCGGCGGCGGAGGAGGACGGGCGCGTACGTCTCGGGGACGGTCAGGGCGACAACGATGAGGACGATGCCGGTGAAGATGGCCATGAGGCCCTCGATCCAGCGCCAGCCTTCCGCGACGCCGAGGAAACCACCAACAATGGGGCCTGACAATTTGTTAGCTGGAACCTACAGACTGGGACAAGGGGACATACCAATGGACGGGCCGAGGAAAGGGGCGGCAGCAAAGATGGCCGTCGCCAGGCCGCGCTCTTGGGCGTTGAACATGTCGGCAATAACACCGCCGGCGTTGGTCATGGGCGAAGCACCAAACGTGCCGGCCAAGAAGCGCAGGATAATGAGCGTCTCAATATTTTGCGCACCGGCGGCACCGGCGTTGAAGGCAGTGAGGGCGATGTAGGTGGCGATGAAGAGGTACTGACGTCCGTACAGCTCAGACAGGGGCGCCCACATGAGGGGACCGACGGCGAAGCCAAGGACAAAGAGGGAGACGCCCAGGATACCAATCAAGGTCGACACGTTGAAGTCGCGAATGACCTCGGCGATACCTCCAGAGAAGGCCGTGCTCACAAAGGCGACGGCCAGGGTGGCGATGGCCTGCTCGATGGTGTAAGTCCACTTCTTCCACTTGGGGAAGGTCTGGGGGTTGCGGGCATCCTCGGGGAGGAAGTCGACGACAAAGGGGGCCTCGTGGGTGCCTTGTCCGGGGTATTTGCGTTGGAGAACGGCCTCTGTCACGCCAGCCTGGTCGAAGAGGAGGTGGAAGTAGTTGGCCTTGTTCACGGGCTTCTGGGCCTCGACATCGGCCTCGGTCGCCGTAATGGACGATGATGATGAGTGCGGCGCCGACGCCATGGTGACTGGCGGCTGGTTGTCCTCGTGGGTATTAAGCTTATTTAGTGCTGGACTGTGCTTGGATGACGATCGTCGTTGATGCTACGATTAGGCGCTGAAGTCTAGGTCGGATGAGCGAGAGATCTTGATCTGGGAACCCGGAGACTTGGGACGGCCCATCGTCTATATACTGCGTAGGCCGGGCGTGGCCTTGGGTGGGGATTTCCAATGTGATTTCCATCCCCTTCGTCGGTGCCCGTATCAACACACACCCATCTCCATCGGCCAGGGGGGGTGGTGATGGATGATCCACCGGTGCAAGCCCACCCGGGCGGTTTGTCTTCCGCACGCCCATTTCCCATGACTAAACCGCACGGAGTCGGTCGTAGACGACGGGGACGAACCAGCGGAGGGTCACTTATCTCCGGCTCGGGTTAGGATCGAACGCTTTGCAGGCAGTCTGATACATACTTGGCGCGGGATCTGACAGGAGTCACAAGACGGGATTGGGCCAGGAGCCGCACGATTTGGCTTTGTCAGATATGCGATGGCAGGTGGTTTGTTGCGCAGGGAATGGACGAACGCAAGCTGAGCCTGCTGAGGTCTGCAGAGTGGATCTCCATGTACTTGGTTCGGAGCAGAGCTTTTCTTCTTTCCTCCGTCCTTTTTTTTTTTTTTTCCTTTCTTTCTTTCAGGTACGTACCTGCTTGCGCCGCATGCACGGCGGAATGACGTGGTTTAGCGAAACCAAGGGACGGCCACACCGGGCCTAGTTCGCCGAGGCAACGTGCCAGAGACGATATTTCATGGGCTGGCGGCTCGCTAACGGGGGCCCACCAGCCGGGATGTCGGCGGACCTGACCACCGTGCCGAGGTGCAGCCCTTCCAACTCCAACGGATTTCGAGACCACTGGCCTCGAGCCCTCGACTAGGTATCACGCTGTTCCCCTATTTTCTCATTACAAAGCCTTGAGACAGGACTTTCCGGACTTTGCTCAACTTCGTCTCACTCTCAAACGAATGCGCACGCACTCGCAGTCGGATTGCTGCGAGGAGGCCGACTCTTTAACATGTTTGACTGATTCATGGCAAGGGATTCACCAACGCCGTCCGAACGGCATCCCACCAACATACGATGCAGGTGCAGCAAACTACATGACGGATGAACTACCTACTTACCAGGGGCTTATCGTCTGTTGGCGCTACGCTTTACGGACCTCCCAGATCTGGACACCCGGTGATAAGAGGCCGCGGACCAACGAATCGATTCGGGCATTCGGTGCATCGGCCGAGCGACCATCGACAATAGTCGTACGGATATATCGACGCTGTTGACTTGCAGAAATAGGGCTGTTCTTTTGATTTAGCCTTTGACACCTTAATCATACACAGTACACAGTAAAGGCAGTAAAAGGTATTCGGAGCCGGCCCACTACTCCGTACCCATCGGGACCGAATCTACATAGTGCACGCAGTTGTGGCGTCCGGGAGGGCCCCTGCATGTCTGGCCTGCTTGGCTCCCGAGCCGTCGGCTCTTGCGAAAATCTGTAAAATTGCTTGATTGCCTGGACCGCCGCATCCCTCTTCCGGACTGGTCAGCCCATGAAATCTGGGTCTCGAAAGGCCATGCGAGAGTCCCATTCGATCGTGCCGTCACAGATCCACCTTTGGCTTATCAACTCAACCTCGGAACTCGAGACTTGGCACAATTTTCCTGTCTTGTTTTTACGGCCCACGGCCTTTGACCGAGCGGCTGGCAAATCACCAAAGGCGAGCCTCGGCTGTCAATTGTTATGGCCCGCGGTGTCGAAAATAAACTCGAATTTAAATGTCACCCTGCCTAACCCATGCAATCCATGCAATTGGCCCCGCTGAAGCTAAACGACAATCGATGAAAGAACGACATGTTCTAGAACGGCGTCCGTCCAAGATGCACAACCTCAGTCTCGTCCTCGCCGTGCATCCGCAAGGCGTATGCCTCCGCGAGCCTTGAAGTGCCTCATAAAGTCCGAACTGGGTCCGGCAGCGCGACGGCTCCGGTCCGCCAAGACCAACCCTTCGGCGAATTTTGTCGTCTCCTTGAGACTCGCCCCGAACAGCTTCATCAGTTCCGGCCACGCGTCAAAGTGCTCGACCGAGTCGACCTTGATCTCGACGAGCCGGAGTTGGTTACCGGTCGAGATGATGGGCAAGAGGTGCATCAGCAACGACGTCTTCAGGTCCTGTCTCTCCTTTTCAAGGAGATCTGTCACTCGTCAGTCCGAACACCCCCGGGAGAGCACCCAACTTACAGCACATCCGCAGCGCAAACTCGATATCGACCACGTCTTCCGCGTCCACCAATTGTATGTACGGCACCGTGTGGTTCCAGACCAGCATGCGTGTGATCTTCTCAAATGATTTGGCCTCGTTGAGCAGGCCCGCCGCCAAGCCCAGCCTCCACAAGTCGCCGACGGTCAAGTGGTCAATCGACGGCTCGTGGTAGTGCAGCATGGTTTGCGACGCGTACTTGAGCGCGTCAATCAAGTCGTACTTGTCGGCGACGACCGCCACCTCGAGGATCGAGTCCGCCGCCGCGATCTGGCACACGCGCGAGTTCTGGTGGTGCAGGATGTTGAGGATCAGCTCCATGATCTCGGGGTCTTCGTCCGGGAGGCTGATCTTGACGGGTTCGGATCCCCGGTCCAGCAGTTTCTGCCCCTCGGAGAAGCGCGGCCCCAGCATCGCGCCAAACACCCTCGACGCCCGCTTCAGTATGAGTGAGTCTACGCGCAGCTCTGTCGTCTCCTCGCCGAGCCCCACGACGAGGATCACGTCGCCGTCCGGCACAACGGGCACGCCGCTGTAGTTGCGCGACCACATCCGCGCCGCGAAGCTCGCCGGCGACCGCACCTCAAAGAACTTTTCCTGCGTCGGCTTGTCGATCGCCATGTGCTTGCTGAGTGGTTGATCCATTGTCGGTGGTCGGCTGTGAGGAGGACTTTTCTTTTCTTTTTTCGTCTCTGACCTGAGTAAATATTTCCCATCGCCACCGTTTAGCCTTTCCCCTCAAACGTAACTCCTTGTGGAGAGTCAGTTTGGTGGTGTCGTGCCGGGAACATCCACGCCCCTCAGGCTCGGATGAGACGCCCGGCGCAAACGAGATGCCCTTGGTGGTGTTTCCCCCGACTCAGCTCGCGGGCAGTGAGGTGAATGGCGTCAGAACCGAGGCTGCTTTTGGTCGGTTGAGTCTGGAGTTTGGCCGGGTTTCCCCAGCGGGACGGCGTGTGGCCTATGCGGGATGAGGCTGCCCCCTCACGTCTGCACATACCCTACGAGTCCTCCCTGCTGACGCGAGCCTTGTTGGGCCGGTTGAAACTTTCAAGGCGCATTCAGCTCGTGGCCCCCAGTCTTCTGTTTCGGGGTTTATCTGGCTGCCAAGCCCCGTGAGAGTCGTTTGATGGAAGTGTCTTCGGCGAGAGCGAGGAGGTGGTCGTGGTCGTGGCTCGAGCTTGTCGGGAGGGGCAATGATGTCGGCCTTGGTCAGCAACGAAGGCCATCACAAAGGCCTAGTTCGAGTGGCTCAGCCGAGTTGTTTCGGTGAGAAAGTGGTAACACCCAGTCGTCGAATTCTGCTCGGTGTGGCTGAGATTGGGCACTTGGGTAGTGACCAAAGTCAATTCGACTGCGGCTGATCATGCGTTCGCAGTGCTGTCACGGGGGCACGTGTTGGCCGTGGCGGCGGACGTCGTCCCATCTCTTGGTGGTCCGATGGCTGGCGTTGGTCGTGACCCAAAGCCGCATATCCTCTAGCTGTTGCATCGACAATGGTTCTTGCGGCCTCATCATCGAAGCTTCACTATAGATTTGGAAATGATAGAACAGTACCATTGCCGTAATATAAGGGAAGTCATGCTGACGGTCTCTGCTGACAGCTTTTCCAAGAGACGGTTGAAAATCATTACTCTTGAAGAAAACAAACAGCAAGTACTTTGTATTATCATAGACTGTGTATCAAGCACTGGCTCGTTGAGCTCTGTTCATTCTCCTTCTATTCTATGTGGCGAGCTTTCTCATGGCGTCGTCCATTTGACTTGTCTGCTCGTTGAGCTCTGGTCATCCCCATTCTATTCTATACCCCCAACTTGATCAAGGCGTTATTCCCTTGAATTACCTGCTCGTTGAGCTCTTTTTATCCTCCTCCTATTCTAGGCCCAACTTTTTGAAGGCGTCTTCCACTTGTCTCGTCAGGTCGTCGAGCTCTTCCCATAAAGGCTTGGCGTTTGCGACTGCCCGGATAGCTTTGTCAAGTTCATTTTTCCTCTCGGCGAGTTTGGGTTGGAGGACCTGGCTCCACTCATCGGCCAGCTTTTGGATCTGGAGCATGTGTTCTTCCATCTCGACAGCGAGCTTGACGTTCTTCTCTTGGATGGCTTTTGCTTCTTGCAGGTTCTGCAGGCACTGCTTCCGGTCTCGAATGTCCTGTAAGGACGCGGTGAGGTTCTCTTCTATAACAGTGCTATTCACGGCGATTTCGATTTCTGCTTCTATTGAGTGGCTATAGCCCACTTCGTTCGCACCGCCCTCGGCGATATTGAGGCCGTCTTGCCAGACGTATGAGCGTGCCAGGGCACTGACGAGTCTCTCTGCAACGGGCAGCTGGGACCGCTTCCACGTCTTCATGACGACTCTGCGAGTGATTGCTGGCTCCGAGTCCATGTGTCTTAGTGCAGAGATCAATAGGCCAAGGAGGTTGTTGATGCCATCGAGGTTTGTCGAGAGGCTGTACTTGGGGAGCCTCCCGTTGAGCTTCGTAGAGCAGCCGACGTAAAGCGGACATTGTTCTTGGTGTACTGCCGCCTCAACGACCCCTGGGAACATTGGCGCCCTTCTCCGTTGGAGGTTCTCGATGAATGCCAGGACGTGCTGATGTTGTGTGTCGTTGCAAATGAAGCGCGTCTTGGTATCGGTCCATTGTCCGTTGACAGCCAGGTCGATTTCTTTCGCAACGCTGATTTTTACCAACTCCGCCATATTCTTCGGTGTGCCTCTCTTGTGAAGAGTGTAGACGTCTGCATAGTTTTGTAATATCATGATCAATTCGCCCAGTTCCGACCAGTTCAGAAACCTGCCGTCGCCGCCGTCGATACTGACGGCAATCACGTAGATGCCTGCAGCAGTAGAGTCCTCGTCGTAGTCGTGAGGCCGGTTCGGCCCGAAATCCATTGCCACAGTTCCCTTGATAATGGAACGCAAGAGATCGCGCGGTATGATGTGCAGAACCTCTGTCGTTTCCCAGTTACTGCTATGGTCTAGCCGAAGCTGCGCAATCGTACAGTCAGGTTGTTTGGGCATGCCCGCCGCAATGAGCTCGTTGGCTATGTCTGGGAAACGCAGTGTCAGCTCGTAGAGCGAATCGCCACGGTCCAGTACTTTCAACATGTCTACTCTGACACCTTCCATCAGCGGGGTCTTTGAAGAGGGGCTGTAATTCGCCATTGTGCAAATCACTCTGGTGTTGGGGTGTGTTTTGTGGTTGTAGAAGGAAAGTTGGGCTCGCTTGGTACGTTCATAAAGAACGTTGCAGAAGTCATCTGATGACGCAATAGGTACCTTGGTGTCGGGTAGGTCAACATGGGAAGGAAGGAGGTGCGTTTCGGCAAGTAGTCGAGAGTGCCCGCAACGCAACCCCGGTCCTTCCCATTCATTGAGGCAAGGTAAGGTAGTCTCTCGCTCGCGCTTGCCTTCTAATGCCTACCTCATCTTAGAATGGAGGCCATGGGAGCCCTCCAACTTCAAGGAGCACCTTATGCAAAGATGGGGTCCTGTCTTCGTACCTTAGGCGTAGGAGGCTGTCCGTGGTTCCGATTACCCGGGAGGTCGGTTGCGCACGACAGAGGTATATTCTACTGCTCCATAAAGGGTTTATGTCCCTAAGGGGACAGCCTGCTGGTTGCATGTCCCTTCGTATAGCTTGGAGAGATCCGTTAGTGTCCCAAGTGCCTCATCAAACTCTAACATCCTCTGGATCAGAGGTTACGTATTAGTCGCCGTCTGGGTGACTTTGCTATCAATATCCTCAAGAGATCGGGCGAGGCCGTGGAGGAGACCCAGGGTCTTGTTCTTTCAGTTCTACAACTTCGTGTTCTTGAGTTGGTTCTTGTCCCGTTAGTTCTGTCCCCACTGGCACTGGCTCCGTTGACACTGGCCCCGTTGGTTCTTGTACCAGTGGGTATTCACATCGGTATGTATACTGGATAGCTGATCTTGAAGGACGACGAGTATGGAAATAGTCTGAGTGACGAGGTTGCTTGAGTGCTCGGTGACACCGAGCACTGTTGTGATGGTTGTCTACCTCTGTGTCGCAAATTCCTTTATGAGCATTGGGAGTGGATGTGGGTGTGATGTGTGGTGAGCGAGGGTGGGGGACGGGACAGAAAATACAAAAGATTTGCCTAGCGGTCTTTCGTATTCATTTGTAATGTAAGGTACCTACGAGGTGATGTATTGGGATTTCTGGGGTTGCCCAGGCAAAGTCCATCTTTCTGGGGTATACTTTCACAATCTTCACCCATTGTCCATAAGCCGGCGCGGCCAAATGGTTAATCACTTGTGTTCTGGTCTAGATATAGACGGTTTGATTATCTGCGTCTGAGCCCCCATAGGGGTCTCCACGTCTTAATTCTTTTCTTCGCTTTTTTCTATTTCGTAATGAGTCGTTTCATTAGCAAACGTGTTTGGTCTCCGACCGACTTGGACCAGACGCAAAGGCATCGAGACAGACACGATCGGCGACACCGTTCCATGTGCCAAAGTATTTCAACTGACGAGCAATTTTTCCATGAGTCATCTTGATATTAGAGATTCCGTACGAAAGGAAGCGCTGCTGAGAAAACAGCGACTGGATCCGACAACGATGTCAGGTCTCCCGCTAGGGAGTGCGTTTGCTTTTAGGCCACCCAGGGCGGCATTGGAATTCGGACTGAGGCGATGGGTATCAGGTGTCATGTCACATTCGCGTGCAATAGAAAGAGCAAAAGATGAAATGGAACCGTGTACCTTGATTCAAACAGTCTTCACCGAATCCTCCTCTGCCCACTCTCACCCCACCCACATGTCGCTTCATATCAATCTGGTCAAATCTAACCCCGCCTTTTCTAGTTTGGGGAGACTTGAGAGACTTGAGCTATGGCGACTTGAACTATGGCGACTTGAACTTGCTTGTGTCTGCTTCTTAACACACATCCGCTGCACTTGACTGACTGTCGGGATCGGTACTTCCCGGATTTGGCGGGGCCACCGAGCCCGCCTCGATCCTTTGGGATACTTGAGGATCGCGTGCCTGCGTCACGCATTGCGTGCGCGCATCATAGTCTGTCGTAGGCGAGTGAGCTGGGGTAGTTGATCCTCTTATCAAGCACGTCCTTGATGCCATACAATGTCCTCTGCGAACCCCTCGCGCTCCGGCACCGATTGTTACTGCTTGAATGCCTCCGAAGAGCACATGGCCATGCGCACATCATGGGTGAGCGCCGTCGTCTCGTGAAAACTGTAGGCATAGGATAGAAAACATGAGAAGCCCGGAGCGCCAATGTGACCGGGCCAGGTTCGAAGTGCATGACCTGAAAGCGAAATTAACCAGATGTACTACTCAGCGTGACGATGCCAGGACCCAGATCGATGAATTGAAGCGCGATCTAGCTGCGCGCCCCATTGAGTGAATAGTGCCATGATCAAGATGATCAATTGCATCTCTGAGCGCGACGAGGCTATCATTTCGCGGAACAGAGTGGGCATGAGCTTGAAAGTTGGAAAAGAGGACCATTCCGAGACCTAAAAAGAGCTCGATTCGACCAGAGAACTGAAAGCTGTAAGTGAAGAGTCTCTTGCCAAGGCGGAGAGTGCTGTTACGGCCTCGAAGAAAGAGTTGCAGCGTCAAATTGACATTTCCATTGTCACAGAAAAGGCACTGGATAGGGCCATGTATTTCTGGCAGGGCGATGAAAACCACCTTCTCCAAAGGAACTTCTTGTAGCAGGTCTGCAAGGCCAATCTCGACACGACGACGACCAAGTGCGAGATGTGACTCGTCTCCACAACCTGGAGCAAGGACGCCGTTGAGCATGACTTTTCTCATGACAGCCTCGTGGCCGGCATTTCCAATGTGCTTGAAGTGCTCAGGGCGGAGCTACTACAGGCCTACGTCTCTTCCAGCCTCATGCGCCGGGTCAATGAATGCCTGGCCGAGACCAACACGATCTGCCCCGTCGCGTTGTGATACCTGACGGCCTAGCGCAGGCGTCGTGTCGTTGGCGTTCCCGTGGATCTGCAACGCATTCTAGACGTCCAAATCGATGCAGTGGACGATATGCTCGCGGAACGGTGCCCGGGCTATTCTCTCAAGCCCAGGCGCGGAAGCACCCTGGACAACATGCAGACGTTGCTAAAAACGGGCTCTCTTCCAAGACACTAGGTCGCGTCGTGCCTTACCTTGTGACATGACCGCGACGACGGGCGCCGTCCTTCTTATTAAGAAAGATGATTGGGAAGTGCTCCTGATATGGCGCGTTGGGACAAGGCAATTTTGGTTCGCCAATTTTACCTGCCTAGTGTCTGCCGGTCTCCTCAATGTCAAGCTCCTTGACCCAACGGGACAGCGGCCCATCTGTCGCAGGCTCATTGAAACGGATATCCAATGGTTCTGGTACGATTCCATGTTGTGCGATCAGGTTGTTTAGATAGGAATTGATGTTTTGTTACCGGTTCCTTGTGCTTACCATGCGTCGTGTCAGTGGGCTCCAACTTCAAAATTCACCTTACGCCATATACAACCCATACCTCGCTATTTCATGTCGTCTGGGACATTCGACTCGTATTTGGGAGCGAGGGTGTGGCGGGATGCGCAATTCAACATCTGGGGCTGGAAGTTTCCTTTATATTCTTTGTACATAGCCCACTGGCACGTAGTGCCTCCCACCTCCTCATCTATCCTTTCTCATGCCGTCACTGCGCGTTGCGCATATCAACTGCAATTGTTCCTGCCCTTATAGTTCTGCACGTCGAACGTGATGCTCGTTACCAGCGACGGAGGTGTTCATGACATCCTCCACATTTCCTGTAGTCTCAGGATCTATAGGGAACTCTGCCAGCTCGTCGGGGCCGTACTTTAGCCCTGGCTGGTCTCTTCTCTTCTTGACTAGCATCATCGTGAAGCCCTGGGTCCACGGTAGACTGCTATGGTTTAGCATGCTCCCTAATCCTACCTGCAAAGCCTCCGCTAAAAGTTCTCGTAGAGAAGTCGTAGTGCGAATCATGGGCTTTCTTCTGCGCCTCACCAGTAACAATTGAAGCTGCTGTTTCGTCGTAAGCATCTTCTTCCGTTGACACTGGTCCCAGAAGTGGAGCTTGGTATTGCAGAGCGGACAGCCCATTATGGTGCCTTGGTCATCGGGGAAAGCACAGTCACTAAGCCAGTAGCCAAAGTGACCACAGTTGCCGCATTGGTTATTATCAGCGAAACGGTTCCTCTCAAATACTTCCTTGCCATATAGCTGAAGGTCTTCTTGTTCCTGTTCCGTCATCTTGTACTTGCCTCCGAAAGGCTAGCCCAGCCGCGGGCTATCGACGACCGTGTGCAGAATAGTGTTCTCTTTTTTCGGAAAGCTGATGCGGTCCGCTAGGCTCCTCCCTCGCTGCGCTGGCGGCGACCGACTGCGGTCGTTGCGAGGCTGCGAGTTTTCAGAATCTCTTTCTCTTTCTCTTGGGAACAGCTCTTTCGCCTGGCTGCTTGTCCCTGCTTGGGCTCTAGCCTCGCCGCCGTCACCCCCGTAGGGGGCCTGGTTGCCCTGGAAAGGGGCCTGGTTGCTCTTGAAAGGGGCCTGGGCGTTGCTCTCTGTCCCGTAGGGGTTGCATATGTCGAAGTCGGCACCGGGATATTGATCTTTTTCAATCCACTTGGGACGAGTCTTGCGTTGATTGGATGGTCGCGACTCGTTGGCCACGTTGGTACAAAATCGTTCGTAGATCTCGGCTTGTTCCTTATTTTCGGTGTCTGTGGCCATGTTCATTTCTTTGGTGTAGGTTTCGGCAGGGGTTCCGCTGGTCTGCTGTGGCTTTCTCATTGAATCGTTGTTCTGAGGTGCCCGGGCGTCTTTCTGCCCCATTCTGTCCAGTATTCGCCATTTTTTATCTGACGGAGGTTTGTCGTCCATGCTGTCAATTTCGAGTGAAGTTGGCAAGAGTAAATAAAAAAAAAGATGCGCATTGAGTGCGAAGGGGTAAGTGGAAGGAATGAAAGACATCCTCCTCGTCAAGACAATTGGAAGGCAGCCTCTGGAAGTGGGTCTCACGGCCGGGCAGCTAGGTACCTTACCTTAGGTAGGTACGGAGCACTTACTCAGATTCTCCACCCACAAACGGTAATGTCAAATAAGGTTATTTGCCTTAGTGTGCCAAGATGCCCACACTGCAAGCATGAACCTTCAGGACATGGGTAAGGTGAGATTGGTTACTCACGGGACGGCCATCATAACTACTTAATCTCCCTCGAGCTGAGGTGAGTTCCTAATTGAGATGTACTGTACATTTCTCCATCCCAATCACCACCCGCCGTCCCCTCTCGTGCAAATTTGAGGACCATGTGCAGTTTCTGTCCACAAGGGTACAGAAGTGAATCGCTATGGAATCGAACGTTACCACCAACTTTAGCTAGCAGCATCAGAAGGAGCGCCAGCGCCAGCGTTTCCATATCTCTCCCGTCTGATGCGAATCTCGTTGAGGAAGAAGGCTGCCGACATCCGCATGCGATCGCCATCGGTTGTAGTCCTCATCTCATCCTGAAGAAAAGCCTGCAGTCTTTCCATCGTGCCGAGGCGGAATTGCTCAGCCGACACGAAGGGAAGCATCGGTGCTGCTGTATAGGCGGTGGTGCCGGGCGGGGGTGGGGCGGGAAGGCTGAGTTGTGGTCGAGATGTTGCCACAGTGCCGGCGAACGCATTTGCATGGAGAGTGTTGTTCCCGATGGCGGCTGGAAGATTCTGAAACTGCATTACAAAAGCATGTCATGTCGGGGGAAAATTGAACTTACGAGGGTTCTGCCTCTGTCTAACTGGACGATCAACTCGCGGGGGGCCTCTTGGTCCTGGGTACATGACCCCTTTGAGGTCTCGGTCGGCCCTGACACAGTCGTTGCGCTCTCTGAACGAGAGAAACACGACTCCATCATGACCCGACGGGCCACTCGACGGAGGCCAGTTGAAGCTGGCAGAGTCCGGCTTGGCGAGCTTCGACTTGAGGAAGGCCTCGACGCGAACCCTGGTCTCCGCAAACGGGAGGCTCTTGACTCGGAGAAGCCTTCTGTTCTTGCGGTAAGGAGCAAGGACAATGTCGAATCTCTCCTGGTCGTCCTTGTCGTTGGCGTCAATGCCGCGGCTGCCGTTGGATGCCATTCTGCGACATGAATTAGTTACTGAATCAACCTGACATTCTTCGCACTTACCTGAACAGTCTAGCGGACAGCAATTTGTTTGTCCGTTCGTTTGTGTTATTAAAATCTTTCCAGGAAGGGTTGCACCGGAGAAAACCAGATGCGTTGGTGTAAGGTAAGGTAGGTGGATACCTTACCTAGGGGAAGGGAGGTATGGTCAGGCGAGGAAGGTGCATGGGGCAGGTATTTTCGCAGGATAAGGCATCGAACTGAACAGGTAAAAACAAACGCTTGGTGGCAGCCCACACAGCAACAACAGCCTCTGGTTCCGAATGCCCGATATTCACCTGCTCAATAACCGTAGCAGAGTTCACAGCTTATGAAGGAGCCACGAGGAAAAGCGGGGAACTTCCTTTAGCACAGATCATCGTCGTCGGCATCGTGTTGAGAAACACAGAATCTATTCATTTCTGTTCCCCGGGGTTTCTGACTGATTCGCCCTCTGTCTAGCGCTTTCCTTCAACTTGAGGATGGCACCCTCGATCACATCAGCCTCTTCAAAATGCGCCTCGTAGAAGTCTTCATAAAAGCCTTCTCCGTCAGGATCTTGGTCGCAATCGTCGATGTACTGATCAGAGGCACCAGTAGCTCCGGTAAAAAAACTCATCAGGCCTATGCGGTATACAAAGTCGAGTAGGTCTCAGCTTGGTAGAAGATCTGTCTGAGTAGATAGCTCGAGGTCTACGATACAGGGAAACCACTCAGTACGTCGACATCGCCCTGGCTCTCAGCTGGGCCCCCTTCTTCCAGATGAGAATGGGAAGAGGGACGGCAAGCGTTGCGCCCACAAGTGCCATCAAGCTATTGGCCCAGCCATATCCGAGTGCGTGGTACATACTCGGGGCAAACAAGGGGAACAAGAAAGCGGTCAAGCTCTTAACGAACTGAATCGCTGCCATGGCACTACTAGTATGCTCTGCGTGCGCGTCGATCACGTAGGCTGTCACTGATAACTTGTCAGTCGTGTCGCCAATAGACCGTATCAAACTCACTAGGCATTCCACTTAGCTGCATGCCAAACATCATGACAACAACTCCGACATCGACGACTAGCCAGTAGAGACGATACTGTGCTGTCCAGCCGTAAAATAAAGTCCCCAGCCAGGCCGGAACAATACCAAAGAATGCGAGCATGACTCGAGACTCTGGTGTAGGTTGGTCACTACGTTTATACAAGCGGTCTATCATCAGTCCACCAAATTGGGAGCCAACAAGCTCTCCAAAAGAGCAGGCGATGTAGTGCAATCCGCTGATCTCCACAGACTGGCCGTATTGCTGTTTCCAAATGTCTGCAAAGGTCGACAGCGTGACATACAGGATACCATAGTTGAATCCCGACAGGACGGCCGACACCTGAATAATGGGATGGAAAAGAAGCAGACGAAGCGGCCTTGTCAGGCAGTTTCTGATGACTGCCAAAGTAGACTTGCCAGCGTCGATTCTCTCGCTGAACGTGTAGTATCTCGTGTCGCCGGTTTCCTTGCGGAGACGAGCAGCCCGCCGGCGTAGGATAAGCGGACCGTAGCACTCTGGGAAGCTGAAGAAGGAGACAAAGATCATGACAGCTTGGAATATGGAAGTGGACCAGAACATCCATCGCCACGTCGTGCGCGCCGCAATGAAGCCACCGATGATGGGGCCTAGAAGGTGTTAGCTTGGTTAGGTGCGAAGCTCGACCAACTTACCAACGGCCGCTCCCAACAGGGGTATGAGAAGATAGAACCCCAGAGACTGGCCTCTCTGTTCAGGGCGCCAAATGTCGCCTAGAACCCCGCCTCCAAGTGCGTAGATGGAACTGGCGCCAAAGCCCGCCAGGAAGCGAGCGGCAATAAGCGTTCCCTTTGTGTTTGCGAAACCACAGAGCACGTTCCATATTAAGAACCATACGCTCGAGGTATGGAGCACAACCTGACGGCCGTAGATCTCGGACATTGGTCCCATGACGAGAGGGCCAAATGCGGTGGCAAGGAGGTAGATGGACAACGCCATGGCGGACTCGGTCGAGGTCATGTCGAGCTCCGCCGCAATGTTTGTCAGAGCGGGCGCCATGATTGTTGAAACCATGATGCGATTGAAACCGGTGGCCGAGAGCACATCGGTGACCATCCACTTTCGACCCGCGGGCCAGTTGAGAGGATTCTCGGCGTCATGCGGTTGTGCAAAGGTGACTAAGAAAGGATCCGAGTCCTTTGACGGGATGGGACCGACCGGAGCGGGGGCAGTTGCGGCCGGTGCGGGATCCGGAATGGGGGCTAACTCCAAGTCGACCGACCTCGGTACCTCCAAGATTACACCACAGTCGCGCGGAGGTGGATTGACCATGGCAATGTGTGTTTGGGAAGAGTGTTGAGTGAGTTCTGATCCAATGGTAATGGCGCACCGGATATCAAACGACAAGCGACTGAAGGCCGGAAATAGGCCTATCTCTGCAGCCTGGGGAACACGATCGAGCAACGCGTAAACAAAGCTATACGGAGCAGTAGAAATGAACCATTAGATGGAGTTATCCGTCTTTTCTATATGCCAGTGTTGCTCGGTTTCTGGCTGACATACCTCGGAAATAGGAGGTGAGGTCGGATATGCGATCCGCCGACCTACTCAAACAAGATGCGCTAAAGCAGGCAGCAGCACGTAGTACCTTACTGCAAGCGAGAAACAAGACAGCACCATTGCAATGCGCCATTCTTGGGTTCCTACCGACGCAACAAGATTGACTCACTCTGCAGGCTCTTGAACTTTGGTGCGCCTAGAGAGTCAGGTTCTCATGCAGGGAACACCGCGTATCAATTTCATGGACTGGGCTGCATCCACCGCCGTTGCCGGCCCCACTTCCCCGTGCCAAGCCGGCCCCAAGCCTGTCTTCTTGACTACCTGCTTGCCGGATGATGGCCGTGACGAACCAAATTCGTTGCGCAAATAAGGCAAGTTCAGTCGTTTCGGGGCCTAGTCTATTAAAGTGACTTGTGTATGTCGCCCACTCGTAGGATGAACGGAAGAGTAAAAGGATCAGCGTGTGCGCGAGAAGGGCGTACACAATACGTCAATCGTGGCATCGTGTTCTGTATTGGACTCAAGTCGTAAGTACCATATGAGGCTTTGATAGGCCCCTTCGTGGGTGTAATGGGTATCTTCAATCCAAGATTTCCCCGTAGTTCAGGTCACAATGCCGACGACGTTGGCGGGAATCAGCCGTCAACTAATTTCGGTTTTTCGATGAGCGATATCATAGCCTAGAGGGTAAAATGTCTCAATATTAAAGGCAGAAGATTGCAGTTCATCACAAATTTCTCGTTCCCATCTCACCTCCAAGACTTCTGTCCTTCATATCCCTCCCACCCGCTTGACTGGCGCTTGTACACTTCCTAAATCTTTATATCCTCAGGGGCCCCGTTCCCTCGGCGGTACTTACGTTTAACCCTCTAGATATATCCGACCCGGGAAAACGACATGTTCAATGTGGCTCAAAGAAAAAGTCAATTCCATCTATACAACAGAGCAGCAAAAGAGTTCACCCCCCCCGGTGCTGAACTGGGGGCTACATCTCTGGCGCACTTGCTGGGACTCGAACCTGGGTACTCTCGCTAAGCCTGTCGTCGAGTAGGCTGGTTGGCGTAAATTGATTGTTGACCATTGACCATTCCACCACCACGCCACAGTTTGACCTGACCCCCGGCCTAGGGGGCGCCTGCTGTGCTGGTGACAGGAATGGAAACGGTCTGGCCTATATAAGCTTCACCCGTGGCGTCAAGGAACCTTGAGGTATAGGTAGGATGAGGCTGCGTGAGCCGACGAACCAAGTGGAAGGTGCTGGGGTTCTTCCTTCCCCCTTTCCTATCACGTGCCCAGGGAATGAACCGGCCACCACTGAACATCTCAATTGCCCGCCACGCTGCTCGTTCAGCTCATAAGAGAATGAGTTCAAGATGAATGCCTCTTTAAATTATTCCCCCAGCGATGAAAGACAAGGCAATGGCATGAGAGATGTGGATGAGGCGGAGCCACAGATCAAGACAACTGAAGCGTCACTTATCATCATTACGTACCTTAGTTGTGCAAGAATTCGAACACTGTATTCTCTACATCCACTTGGCGAATACGCAACTCACGTGAAGAAAGACCGCCATATTCATATTTTCTTCCACCTGCCAACTTTCACTCTCCCGCCCTCTGGTTTTCTTACTTCTCCCACACTCTGCCTTCACCTCTTTCATCTTTCACAAATCCCAACACTCCCCATCTCGGCTCTTCCCAGCCCAGATTCTGTCCCCCACATCCCAACCCTTCCCAACTGACACAAATACCACGATTTGTTTTGTCAAGTGAAGGTACGTACAACTCGTATGATTCGAAACGAAATGGGTTCTAACTCTGATCGTCTAGTAATTTGGGGCGTGCGTGGATGGAATAGAGACGTAGGAATAGTATCAATACCATTGTGTTCATTGGGGCGTTCATGCTGTGTCTTGCTCCTCGTGACGTCTCACCGTATTCGGACAGGTTTTGTTGTTGTAACTCACAAGAGGTTGTCACCTAGGTATCTAGGATCCCTTTGTCTCTGATTCCATCATCGAACGTGGTCAAGTGGTTTATCACTTGAGGCCCGCCGATATACGGTTTGAAAGCTGGCCACGTTCAAGTCACGATAGTGGCTCTTGATCTTTTTCATTTTTTCATCTTACTGTTTTTTTTCTTTACCAGCCCTGCTAAGGATACATTACTAAAAGAATTTCCTGTTCTTTCCATCCAATACGGCCTCTTTTCTTTCTTACTATGGCCGCCTAGCAAGGACAAACTCGTGCTTCCATTCGTCACTCAACGGCGGCCATGCAGGTTATCGGGTCTGCAAACATGTCGTCAGAAATCCAAAAGGTCCGATGTTTTCACAGGGAACCTAACCAGAGTCGTGCTGTAAACAAAAGCTCCCAGCTCATGACCTCAATTGAGGTCCCAAGCTGCGATACTCTGCCAAAAAAGGCCATGGGCGAGACATTCTCCCCATGTGTTGTTGTGAGCGGTTATCGTAGTGGGCATCAGTCAACCCGAAACATCACCAAACTTCACGTGACCTGACGATTTACAGAGGTCGACCAAACAGCTTGAGGACGGGTTCCCCATTCCCCTCCTCACGACTAGACCCACGTCCTGTCCATCCATGAGTGATGATGAATCCACCAATGCTCATGAGATGACCCTTGATCAGAAACGAGACACTATGGTGCATCCTAGGCAATGGAACACAGCAAGTGTAAGTCCCTTCATATGAAAAGAGTTTGTTCCTATGGAATGAACAAGCTTCATTCGATAATCTCTTCCGTTCAAGTGTCGCGACAAGCGTACTGGATGGAGTCTATATCTGTCTTGACTACAAATCGTCCCTTCGTTACACAGCCAGATCAGTCTGAGGTACCTGGCGGCAATGATGTACACATTGGTGGCGACCTTCTTTCTTTCTCCCTTCCTGTGTTGTATTTTATTTCATAACGAGCCATTTGATTAGCAACCTTGTTCCGTCTTCCATCGTCTTGGACCAGACATCGAGACAGTCACAACCGGTGACTCGTGGCAGTGGCATTTGGACCCCGGCGACCGGTATCAGGTGTCATTTCACGTTCGCGTGCAGTAGGAAGAGCAACGACCAATGGAACCGTGTATCTTGATTTAGACAGTCTATCCCGCACTCTTCTATTTCTCTTATTAGTATCACTATTATCTCCTTAAATGCCTCTCATTCAAGAGCACACATATAGTCGAGAGGTAGGTAAAGTAGGGCAATGGTAGAAATAGGCAAGTATGTAGGATAGGCGATGAGCGGCAAATCATTGTGCCACCCACTTGGAGGTGTCGGACAACAAAAATGATCCAATTCTATGCCATCTCTTAAACCCCAACAGACCAAGTTCGAGAGACTCACCTCCTCGAAGCGACGGTCAGCATCGTGTCAGTGGTTGGGAGACGACAGGTCTGCGGTGGACATGGCACACAACCGAGCAGAAATGACCGCCGTCCAAAAGCCACGTCAATTATCCCGACTTCGTCATCCAAGGCCATCAACCAGCTTGACCAACGTGACGAATGTCTCGGGAAACGTTCCAGAACAATTCTGCACCTCCTTGCATGTGTCCGCAATCAAAGACTGCCACGCGACAGTGCCCTACCGTGATTCGTTTCAGAAGTCAGGAGTCCGCAAGGGTGCAATGCGGGGGCTGCCAAACGACGGACGCTGGGGAATCGCACAGCCGCGAGCCAAATTGCAATGAAATCGCGCGCTCATTGGATGGTACAGGTCCGTTGATAACCCAGTTCTTTCGGGGATTTGGCAGATGCGCCGTGACAGAGCCAAAATGGCATCGCAGCGTGTCACCTTGGGCGCTAGGAGAAACGGCTACAGCCACACAGAGGAGCGTATGCTTTCAAGGAGACCGGCCGGATTCCGTGATCCACGCCGCTCCGTGAGACGGCGAGTGATGGCGGTAGTTGGAGATTGCGGTGCAGCATCCCGGGCTCGCCTGTGGCACCCACCACCGGCATTGGCGAATTCCATGATGCGTAGATGGCGACGCAAGGCACGCAGATAACCAGCGGCGCCTCGCTGACCTCTTGTGGTCCTCTTTGCGGTGGAGGGTAGGATACAGAGTTGGTGATTGGTGGCGGCTGGGTTGTTGGAAGCGGGCATTTTGCCATTGTAAGGAAATGCATGCGTTGGCAGAGGGCCCTGGTCCGGACCCGAGCGACTGTCACCGGACAGTGCAAAGATGAGATGCGGAAATGAGCCACGACAGGACCGAGGTACGAGAGGTCGGAGCCTTTCCGCTCGTCTTGGTGTAAGCGGGCTATTGTTTGCTGCAGCCTAAGCAGATGTGACAGATGATGTCGAATGGCGGTTCGTATCAGGCACCCAAGGTACCGCCAGCCTGGTTCGTTCGTTGCCGTGTTTCCTCATCGTGATTGACGGCGAGCGAGGCCGACTTCGAAAGCGCGAGAGAGGGGGGTTCGAGACACTGCTCCATCGCAACGGCCGTAGCTATGAGGCATAGTTTACTGAATCGACGCCGTCGTTGGAAGTCAGTGCTGGCCGAAACGGCAAGGCTTACACAGTAGTGTCGTGAAAGGTGAAAAGAATAACAAGAACGCCAGCGTATGGACCGAGCGTTACTGTCAGAGCTAGATTGGCGGGATGACGGACCCGTCGTTTAACCCGTTCTTAGCGGAGGAAAAGCCCTGTGGCGTCGCTGCTGGACCCCTGCGAGAGGTTGAGGTGAACACAATCACCAACAGCTGAGAACCAACAAGAGCGGGGTTGACGGTTGGTGTGTGTGTGGGGA